CCAAAAATCCTTGAGAATGGGAGACATGCTATGGGACTGGAGCGAGTAAATGTCTCAGCTTTCAAAAGGGTGAAGAAGAAGATGGATTCTTCAAACAAGTTGGAGAGCTCAGCTTTGATTACTAATAAAATGTTTGAATATATTCTGAAAGGGATGTTGGAGGACGCAGGGTAGTGTAGTGGAAAGAGCATTAGACCTCTCAACCGGTCACTTCACATCTCACTGAGCCTCAGTTCCCTCATCTGCAAAAAGGGGATTATAATACATATAATTCCTACATCTCAGTGTTGTTGTGCAGATCAAATGTTTATAGAATATATATATATATATATATATATGCATATATGTAATCACGTATATACTACATATGCACATATATATGTATATATATATCCCTCTATAAACATTATAAATATAATATTACTATTGAAAGTGGGATAGCCAGCACTCAAATTGGCAAATGGTGATTACTAGGAGCCAGCATGGGTTCATCAACACCAGCCTCATTTCCTTTTTTTTTTTCCAAGATCACTCCATTCAACCTATTCCAATGCCTAATCAGAGTGTGGAGGTGGCTTTAAGGTATCCAGAACACAAGCTCTGACAGGATTTACCAAGCTAGAAAGACTTCAAGTACAGCCATGGCTCTGGACGCTCATTCAAGGACCAGCCTACAAAAGTCTGGAGAGGCTCATTCATCATCAACAGGTCTGTCACCAAACAATGAAGATTTCAGTCACAGTAACTCATGAAACAAATCCAACCAACAAGCATTTATTAAGCGCCTGCTAAGTACAAGGCACTGTGTTAGGATGGTGGGGATACAAAGACAAGACACAGAATAGTCTCTGCCCTCAAGGAGCTCACATTCTACGGGAAGCCAATCATTAAGGTGCAGAGATCTGCGCTGGTGTAAGAAGTGCCCCCATCAATGAAATCAGCAAACCTTTATCAAATACCTTCTACATGCAAAGCATTATATTAGGCACTTGGAGAGATACAAAGGGTAGATAAGATATGGTCTTTGCCCCTAAAGAAGATTATAAAAATCACAAATTGTTGAAAGTTCTGAAGTGCAAGAGGTATCAGTTTCATATCTACCTTTTGGACAAGATGGGGAGATGTGGGTTGGGTCTAAGAGTGATATGGATTTGGTACTAATTGAATGGCTGTACCCAAAGAACAGGGATTAACAATGAATTGCTTTCAGGCCAGAAGGGAGTACCTAGTAGAGTCCCAGGACTCTACTAGTCTTATTCAACATTTTTATCAGTGATTTGAATGAAAGAGAGATGGATGGATATAATGTGGCTGAGAGGGAATTGGTTTTGCTATGGAATTACCATCCAAAAAAGAGCCAACAGGCTAGAACAATGGGCTATGTCTAAAATGTGGCCCATGACAAAATCTGATAAGGATACACATGAAGCTTTACACTTGAATTAAAAAGTAATCAATAACATAAATACAAGATGAGGCTGTTAGTGTAAGTTTTATATGAGCCAAGAGTATTACAAGGTAACCCAAAAAGTGAATGGGCTCTCAGGTTGCATTAACAGAAGCATAGCTACTAAAGGGAGAAAGATGCCTCTGGTTGGACCACATCTAGATTATTGTGTTTAGTTGTGGGTACCACATTTTGGGAGGGACAGTGACAAGCCAGAGAGAGAACAAAGGAAGGCGGTCAAGATGGAGAGGGGACTGGAAAACTGGCCAATGAGGATTAGTTGAATGGTTCAGGCATATCCCATACGGATCAGAGAATTAAAGATGGAATGGACCTCTGAGCTTATCTAGTCCAATTGCCTCAAATTATAGTTGAGTAAACTGAGACCCAGAGAGGTTGTCACTTGACCAAATAGTAGTGGGGTCACAGAAACAGTAAGAGCAGAGACAGGATTTGAACTCAAGTCACAGGATACCTAAGAAGGAACCTTAAAAATCATTCAATTCAAACCTTAAGACTTCTGGGTCTGAATCTAACACTCTTTCCATTGAACCACACTGCTTCTCCACCTTACTATACACTTTCTTCTGCAGAAGAGAATATTTGGTTTGGGTAATATGGAGGTTATTTCTCTTTAAGTATGTGAAGTGCTGTCACAGGGCAGAGGACTTGGTCTTGTTCTGCTGCCTCCAAAGGGCAGAATGAGGAGTAATAGGTGAAGGTTGCAGAGACGAAGATTTGAGCTCCGATATAAGGGAAAACTTCCTAACAATACCAAAGTCCGATGGACTGCTCTCTGAGGGAGGAGGCTTCCCATCAGAAGAGCTCTTCCAGCACAGGCTGGGTGACCCCTTGGATAAACTGTTGACGGGATTCCTGTTCAAGTATAGGTTGAATAAGATGACTTCTGATGTCCATTCCATTTCTCAGATTCTATGATTCTAACTAGAATATCGGTTTAATGGGTGGTCATGGAAGTATGATTCCCTTCCTCAGAAACAGGATTATAGGATTTAGAGCAGGCAGGATCTGAGATATCAACCAGTCAAACCCCTCATCTCACCGATGGAGACACTGAGGCTCAGAGAGGGGAGATTGTTGGAGGTTAGTTATACAACTGGGTGGGGGATAGAAGCAGAGGGAGAAGTGAAAAATCCAGAAGGAAGGAGTCAATCCCCATATGGGGCTTTTGTTGACAGTGGGCAGATCCCTTTTAAGATACAGCTAAGCTCAGAGTCATAACTAGGGTGGGGCAATGAGGGCTTGGCTGAATTTAGAAGGCTCTGAACTTAAAGGATGCAGACAGTACTTGCAGCCCTCTGGCAGCATAGAAACAACATGGTTTAGCAACTCATTAGCAAGAATAAGTGGTTAAAATGAGAAGCTGCCAGATGGCAGGAAAGGGTGAGTAATCCTTACTGGCTTTGCTCTCCCCATCTTCCTAATCCCCTTGACGCAGCCTCCCCAGGAGCAGCCCGAGCTAGGGCCCCTGAGTTTCTGTCTTGCTCTACAGGGCAGTGTGGTACAGTGGGTGAGTTTTTGGTTTAGAGCCAGAGGTTGTGGGTTTAAGTCCTGGCTCTGTCATTTGCTACCTACATAACCACTTAACTTCTCTGGCCTCAGTTTCCTAATCTGTAAAAATGAGGAGGACTTGGATAGATGGCCTCTGAGGTCCCTTCCAGCCCCAGCTCTATGAAACTATGGGTGAACTGTTCTCTCCAACTGGAGTTGGCCTTCAGAATGCTTGCCTCGGGCATAGTTTGTGCCCCTCGCCACAGGCACAAAAATTCCCAGTTACAGCTCTGGTTAATCTATTTTGAGACTGTAAGTCTGTAATGATCATGTACAGGGAAAAACACATTCCTCTGTGGCCAACTGAGTCATCAAAGTAGAAGTGCAGAAGTGGGTGGATCCAGCAACCTGGTCCAGGAAAAATCTCTGTTATTTATTGGGTTCACAGCCTTCTGGTCATCTCTGCCCTGCCAATGACCTAAAAGCTGGAGGTATACCTAAGACAGGAAGCAGGAATTGAGTGGGTGGTCTGAAGGGCTTTGAATCAGGATAAGCCAGAAGCCCTGCTTCTGCCATTTGAAATAACCATCTTGAAGGGCCAACCATAAGTAAAGATGGCACCTGCTCTCAAGGCCATGGAGCTGCTAAGGATACGGGATGTGCTGGGGGGGAGGAAAGGAGGGATGGAGAAGGGAAGCAAATGACCTGGAGGAAAGGTTTGTCTTTTATAGACATGCAGAGTAGCTTGTGGATTAGATGGCTCTGATTTTTGAGGGGATGGGAACATTTTTTATATTCAACCTATTGACTGGGTTTCCCCTTAATTAAGATGAAGGGGAATTAGCCAGCAAAGGCAGCCAGTGGCATAATGACCACACTGCTGCACTTGAAGTCAGAAAGACCTGTGTTCTAATCCCGCCATGGACACTTACTTGCTGTGTGACTCCCAGCTAATCACTAAACCTCTCTGTGACTGTTTCCTCGTTTGTACAATAAGGGGGTTGGATTTGTTGGTCCGGCATAGACAACATGACCAAAACCAAATGGACTGAGGAGCTGTATCCAGAACACCCGTTTGGTGGTTGGGGGTGGGGAGGGAGAGGTACAGGAAAGACATGGGCATTCTGGAGCAGATTAAATTACTCTCTTCTGGGGCCATGAAGGAGCTACATGCTGGGATATCCCCCCTAAAGTGTAGGCACCAGACCTGAACACAGTGATTTAGATGTGGTCCGGACAAGGTAGAAGGCAGTGGACTCTCTTCTTCATTGCTTTAGATACTGCTCTTATGAACTCAGCCTCAGGTCATCTTTACCTTTTGGGCTGGTCACCCACACTGTTGACTCATACTGAACTTACAATCAAGTAAGAGGCAAGCTAGTCCTGAGAAACTAGACTGATGGATGCTTTTCAGATATATGGGGTACATTTTTTTTATTCACTGCTGTTTATCTCACCCTGGTGTATTATTTCTGAATTTGTATTTTTTTTTCCTTAAGAATTAATGCACTCTTGGGGCAGCTGGGTGGCACAGTGGGTCTTGGAGTCAGGAGGACCTGAGTACAAATCTGACCTCAGATACTTACTAGCTGTGTGACCCTAGGCAAGTCACTTAATCCTGATTGCCTCAAAAAATAAAGAAAGAATTAATGCACTCTTGCTGTCTGGAAGATACAGAGGTGAGCCTTGAGCTTCCCACTATGATGATAGCAGAGGGAGAAAGGGGAAAGATAATTAAAGATCAGGTGTGATTTTCATGTGTGGTCAGGCTCTGAATCCAAGGAACCAAATAAACGCAGGGGCCATGAAGGCCCAGGCTTCAGGCTGACTTTTAAGAATGAGGGAAAAACTAGAAAATAGCAAAAGGCAGGAGCCCTGGGGTTGAAGACAAGGTCCCCTAGAAAGATGTGTCCCAAGAAGGAGCTGGAATCCCCAAGGAGTTTGACCCTGATCAGTAAGCCCTACAGCCCAGGACTAAACCCTATACAGCGGCCCATATACTTGGCTAGCCCAGCCCTGCCCAGCCAATCTGGGGTCTGACCTTATCGACATTGTCATCAGATGCCAGGGAGCTGTGGACTTGGGCATTTCTGTGCTTTTGTCTGCTTCCGTTTTCCTGCAGTCAAAGAATTACAGAATGTCACAACTGGAAGAGGTCTAAGATATTAGCTAATCCATTTTACAGATGAGGAAACTGAGGCCCCGAGAAGGGAAGTGACAGATTACTAATCATGAAACAGCACTGTCTCCCCCTAGGAGAGAAAGTTAGGACAGCTATGATTGCTGATGCCAATTCTTTCTTGAGTGTGAGGGTGGGTGGAGGCCTCTCTAAAACTGGGGCCTAGACAGTCCTATTTCACTGAGAATGGTGACATCAGACAAGCACCCCCTGAATCTCTTTCCTTCTTTCCTCAAAAGTTCTGTGCCTCATCACCCACTCTCTCCTCCTCCTCCTCCCTCTGATCACAGATGGAAAGTTATTCCTACCACTCATTAAGATCAAACATCTTTCTACCCTTACCCTCAATCTGATGAATCATTATGGAGCAGTGAAAAGAATTCTGGATTTGGCATCGGAAGACCTGGATTCGAATCCTGGCTCTGCTATTCACTAGAGCACTTTGTGACCTTGGACAAGTCATTTAAGCTGTTTAGGACTCAGGTGCCTCCTTGGTAAAAGGAGGAGGCCGTATTCTCTATTGTCCTATGATTTCATTTCTTCCAGCCTCCTGAAGGATTTGCTCCAGCGCTTATCCCATAACTCCCATGTCTTTTCAATCTCTCCCTCCCCACTGTTTCCTTCTCATCAATCTATACACATGCTCAGATCTCTTCAATCCTCTCCATCTATCATGCTATTGTTACTTCTTCCTCCCTTCACTCCTAACCTTGAGAAGATTGCCTTTATTTCCATACTACCCATCCAATACTTTGCAATCTAGCTTTCATTCTCACCACCCTACTGACACTGTGTTTTTGTTTCAAAGCCACCAAATCTAATGGCCCCTTTTTTTCCGGCTCCCATCTTCCTTGGCCTCTCTTCACCTTTGATACTATTGCCCGCCTCTTTCTGATGCATACTCTCTCCTTCCTTGGCTTCAGAGATCCCCTAACTCTCTTGCTACCTCTAACTGCTCCTTGTCTGCTTGCTTCCCTCTTTTCCTCCCACCATGATTCCTATTTGTTTATTCCTCCTCTTCTTCCTGACCCCTTACTGATGGCCTTCCCCGAAGGTCTATCTTCAGCCCTTTTCTCTCTTCATGCTCTCTCTTGACCATCTCACTCACTCCTGTGGCTTCAGCTCCCACCTCTACAAAGATGACTCCTAAATCTATATCCTTAATCTCAACTTCTTCTGGGTTCTAGACCTGAATCTCCAGCTGCCCACAGGATATGCCCACCAATACCCCGTTGCTGTCTCAAACTCAACCTACCTCAAATGGAGCTCATTATCTTTCCTTCTGGCTTCACTATTTCTCATATGCCACCTTCACTGAGCTTTTCATGTTCAAGACCTTTGAGTTAGCTTGAACCCTTCCCTCTTCCTCATCCCTAACCTCCAGTTAGTTAGCAGTGTCTATCAATTCCATCTCCAACACATCTGGCCCCACCTCCTTCTCTCTGCCCCACCTTATTCCTTACCCACCTTCCTGAACATGAACAATATTGTCTTTTTATAGGACTGACTGCCTCAGTTTCCTCTTTCCTCCAATCTTTCCTTTGAACTGCTGCCAGAAGAATCTTTCTCATACATACATGTCGGTCCTCTGCTCAAAAATCATCAGTGGCTCCCTAGTGCCTTCCAAGTATAGTTCATACTCCTTTGCCTGGCATGTCTTTGCTCATATTCCTTTTGCTTGGAATGCCCTCTTCACCACTTTGATTTTAAAGCACAACTCAAATGGATCTTGTTAGAATCCTCCAGCCAGTAAAAATCTCCCTCTCTGAGTTCACATGGCACTTTGTTTTGTACCTTCTGACAAATCAAAGTGTGTGCCATATTGTATTCTATTATGTGTTCCTGTCATCCTCCCTAAAAGACTGTATGTAGGCTCTCCAAGAGCAGAGATAAAGTCTTTTCTCTACCTTGTATCCTTTCCAGTACCCAGGCCAGTGCTTTGCACACAGTGGGCACTTAATGCATGTTTGTTGAATGAATGAACAAAAGAATTAATGAATGGAGTCTTCAGCCCCACAGTGCAAAGAGTCCCGGGGCCTGGTTACCAACACCCTGTGATGGGCCCTAGCTAAGAGTACTGAAAGGTTGAAGGACTGCTGATGGGGAAGTCACTGGCTGTATCACATAAGACCTGACTTTCCAAAGGAAACCCCAAGGCAGGAAGAGAGAGAAGGGGAAGAACCTCTGTAAGTCAGAATACCCCTCCACCTTGCTGGACAGAGTTCCAGGCGCTCCAGGCTACAGCTGCCCTGGGCCTGCTCCTACTGCTTCCCCTAGACTGAGACATCAGGGGAGACCACATGAACACCACCTGGCACGGCCAAGCCTTCCAGTGTGCTACCAGTCAGTTCAGTTTCCATTCCCCAGGACGGCCGGTGGAGCGACCCTTGTACATCACATGTGCTCATGGAGGGGAGACAGAATAGACTCTGGGCACGAAAGGGAGAGCCAGCCCATCACCGAGCTTAGAGAGCAAAAGGAAAGCAGGAGGCCTGAGTGGGAGAAGTGTAAGATCAGGATCTAGCTAGAAAAAGAAAACTTGGACCAGAAAGAGAAGAGCCTGGGGGAAAACAAGCTTTCTTGCCGTATAAAGAATGCTAGAGAGTGACCTTAAAGTGGGGAGTGCAAAAGGAATGTGGAATGAGGCAGGGCTGATTTCACCGCAGGGAGAGGTACTGGCTTCCAAAGCTGTGCTCACCCCCACCCCTCACCCCCTCCACTTCCCAAAATAGGATTGCCTGCTCTCAAAATACTGACTGGAAAAAGGGGCACAGGACTCAAAAATCCTGCTATCTGGTTCCTAGTCCTGGATCTGCCACTAACACCTGAGTGACCTAAAGTAAATTACTTTCCCTCTCTGGGTCTCAGTTCTTTCATCGTAAAATTAGGAGACTGGGCTAGAAGAGCTCATGGTATCCTTCCTGATCTGACATTTTAGGATTGTATGGCCACAAGAACATTTTAAAAAGTAACAAGTGCTTTACAGATGTAAAAAGAAAAGGCATGACTCCATTAGATGATAAGCTCCTTGAGGGCAGGGACTGTCTTTTGCCCCTTTTCGTACCTCCAGAGCTTAGTGCAGTGCCTGGCCACATAGTAGCTGCTTTAACAAATGTTTACTGATCAATGGATGGATAGATTAGAAGGAACCAGAAGGGCCTGGGAAGATCACAGGATCGTGGGTCTAGAACCAGGAGGGACCTCAGGGGTCATATAGTCTAATCCCTAATTTTACAGCTCAAGGTCAAACAGGTGATAAATGGCACAGCAAGGATCTGATCTTGACACCAGTGACCTCAAGTCTGCATTCTTTCTACAGCTTCACCTTGCCTCTCAAGCAAAGACCTAGAGCATTCATTATTTCCAGTTGGTCTCCCATCCAAGCAGTAATCAGAAAGGACCTTGTTTAGCTTCTGATTCCAAGATCAGCTGAGATAGGACCCATTCGGGGTGGAGTGGCCACCTGAGAGAGAATTGCAGGAGTGCTTTATAGGTCTTTAATCTCCACTCCTCTTCTACCTCATCTGCGCATCTCTTTCTAGTTCTGTTTTCTTTTTCATTCGTTTCTCCTCCACCCCAGCAGCTTGTTCTCTTTCCCTTCATCTTCACACGTTCTCGTCTCTCCTTTCCTTCCTCCCTGCCCATGTCTCTCCTCCTCCATCTCACTATCTCTCTCTCCTTCCTCATGGCTCCTATTACCCTTTACTTGCTTCAAACCTGATTTTTACCTCTCACTGCTTGCTTTGCCTTGATTATACAACTCCTCATTCTGGCTTCCTTCCTTTCTCTCTAGCTCTCTGACATCCTCCTTCTAAGAACCACTGATTTATGGTTGGATGGCATACACCTTTGGGTGTGGAAGCTCTTTAAACTTAGCCATAATAACTACAATGGGATGATTGGGCCTTTGTCCCAAGGTACTGAAAATTAGATGACATTAGCAATTGTCCCAGAGCTTTTTTTTTAAATGAGCTTAGCAAGAATAATTAGTTAAAATTTGAAGCTTCTGGTCAGCATGCTTCCTCTGCCAGACAGCCCTTGCCCAGGCGAGCTCTTCCCTGACCTGACCCCCTTCACTCTGCTTCCTCCACCTGCCACTGGGGGCAATAGCTACGAAGTTGATCCAGCGTCTCCACCCCACCTCCAAATTAACTGAGGACATGTTTCATCCCCTTTGGCCCAGGTCCAAAAAGGACCTAGCTCTGGCTCTGCATATAAAATTCAAGTCAGGATGGGGTAGGATCATAGATTTAAACCTATCCTTCCTTTTACAGATGAGGAAACTGAGGCACAAAGGGGTTAAGTGACTTGCTCAGCTAGTAAGTGCTTGAGGTGGGATTGGAACCCAGGTATTTCAGACTACATGGAGGTCCATTACTGTATCCACTACTCTATGCTGTACACCCATCCCTTCCTTACAGGAGCAGCCAATGAAGATGAATCTCTTTCTGGCTTCGTACAACCTGCTACTGTATGGAGGGAGCTGGATAAGTAAGATGCTATGAAGAGATCCACATTGAGACCCCAAATACTCTCCCTCACTAGCCATGTAGGGCAGAGCATGTTCCCTCCCTGAAGACCCTCTCAACTTGATCTCTCCACAGGTCCCTTTCAGTAAGGTGGTTCCCTTTTCCCTCTCCAGTTTGCTGTAGCTCTCACTTCTCTGCTCCACGTGGGCCAAATTATCCACCATGGACATGACCTGCTCACCTCCCCTAGTGTTATCTACACTAGATAACAAAGCTAGAAAGTATTTTAGTAAAGGCCATATAGTCCACCCCCTCTCTTATTTTACAGATGAGAAAACTGAAGCCCAAGGAGGTTAAAATGACTTTGTCCAAGGTCACACAATCAGGAAAGACAGGCTTCGAAAGCCAGGTCATCTGGCACTCCTTTCACCATGCCACACAGTCTCTTGAGAGGTGAAAAACATTGGGCCAAATCTAAGATAACATTTAATAGGGAGTATAGAGTCCTACACTTGTTTTTTTTTTCCTTAGGCAATCGGGGTTAAGTGACTTGCCCAGGGTCACACAACTTCTAAGTGTCAAGTGCTTGGTCTGAGGCTGGCTTTGAACTCAGGTCCTCCTGACTTCAGGGCTGGTGCTCTATCCACTGTGCCGCCTAGCTGCCCTGCTTTGTTTCGTATTGTAAATGATCTTCCTTCATTGCAGAATAGAGGAGAATGGGTTAGATCTTTTGCCTGGGGATAGATCTAATTTTTCATCTGAGAAAGATCTGTGAGCTTTAGCTCATTAAAAGCTCAGTATGACTCACCTAGTGTTAATAGGGTAGTCCAAAAAAGTTAGTGTCATATTAGGGTGCATTAAGGAGGCCTACAGTTGAGAACTCTACTCAGCTGTACTCCATATTGGTCATGCTGTGTTACTGTCTTCAGTCCTGGACGCCATAGTTTAATAAGGGCATCATTGACAGATAAGCTGAAGAATTTCCAGAGGATGGTGACCAGGAGATATCATGCCATCTGAGGATCACTTGAAGAAATGGGGAGGGGGTGTTTATTGTGGAGAAGAGGAGACTTTTCCAGGGCTGGGAGGTAGCTGTGCTCAAGTATCTGAAAAGCTGTCTTGTGGAACAGAGGGAACAGACTTGTTCTGCATGGTCCCGGAGGGCAGAACTGGGATCACCGGGTGGGTGACCCCCTCATCAGAGGCCTTCAAATGAAGATCAGACAGCCCCTTGCTGAGGACGTTCGAGAGGGGATTTTTGGAGGGTTTGGACTAGTTGACCTGTGAGGTTCTTTCCAACTCTGAGATTCTAGGATTCGGTGACCTTTCCTCCCTTCCCTGCCTGGGGCACCATGACATCTAGCTCTGGCCTAGGAAAAGAGGAGCCAAGGCCCTTGGAGGGTAAGACACCTGACTGGAGCTTACAGGTTTCTTCTCCATCATATCTGCTGCTTAAAGGCTTGGGCTCTCCAGGTTCCTTCCGTCCCCACTGTGCCTCCCCTGAATGTTCAAGTACCAATAGCCACGCCAGCTGTCAAGAGAGGGTAGGAGGTCCTTTGTTCTGAGTGTAAGGGGGGCACGGGTGACACTGGCTGAAATCGCAAGACTTAGGACCAGTCTTCCATTCTGTTAGTAAATGTTTATTAAACTTGGCCCTGAGCTAGGAGCTGTGGAGGATGCTAAGAAGTACAAGACGTAGTCCCTGCCCTCAAGGAGCTTACATTCTTTTGAGGAGGACAAGACCATCATAATAGAAACAGGTAACAATACAGTCAGGTTACAAAGGCCAAAATGACAAAGGCTGCTGATATTCAGGGAAAGGGAGGGGAGAACTCTGTTGAGTGGAGTAATCTGAGAAGACTTCATGGAGGAAGTGGCACTTCAGTTAGACCTTGAGAGCTGCCTCTTCTTTCCTCCCCAGCTCTTCAAAATCTTCCTACATAGATCTGGGCATGCAAAAAAGGAAGGAAGGTGCGTTCCCAGCAGAGGGAACAGCATGGGCAAAGGTTTGGAGGCCGGACTGAGCACGGCTAATTCACGAGACCAGTCAGGCTGGGGTGAGCAATGTGAAAGGGAAACAGAATTTGGATAGACAGGTAGGTAGGGACCACATGGAGGCATAACAGACTGAGAAACAGCATGGGGTCGGACGAGATGACTTCCTAGTGCCCTTTAGGCTCTAAATCTATGATTCTATAATTTGATCTCTAGGCACTGGGGGCAAGGGCAGGCAATGGAAAGGATGATGCAGTCAGAGCTATGCATAACTCAGTGTGTGCAGAGTGCATTGTTATGTAGCCTATACAGAATGGATAGGCAAGGGGGGAGACCAGGACCAGGAATGGAGTGGGCTGAGGAAGGGAGCAGATAGGAGACACATTTAGGTATTCCACAGGAGCCCTTTGCAATTTTTTTGTGTGTTGTAATCATATCTCTTTTGTGGTAGATAAAAAGTTCCCCCATGTATGCTCTATGTAAATGTAAGTTGCAAATATTAATTTATAGTGACCCAGAAGTTGTTCTATTTCCCTCCTCTCAAACTAGAAGCTTCATGAGGGCAGGGCAGTATATTTTACATTTCTTTGCAGTTTATTCCTACAGTGCCCGTATTTGTTGGTGGTGATGTAGTCATGGAGGAAGACATATTGGTGGAGATTCAGGGCCACTTGGGGGCCAGGGAGAGGACTCCAGAGCAGAAAATGTTCACCTGGGAAAGACGCCTTCCAAGGGGTTGTGGTTGACCTTGGGATTCAGGAAAGGGAGCTTGGCTGAGGTCCACAGGGAAAAGTTAGAATCAGGGCTTGGAGGTTGCAGATGGAAATCTAGCTTAGAAGGGATTTAGCTTCTGAAAGCCCAAATGAATTTCATCACTATTCTCACCATTACTTTATACCTAACTGGGCCTAAAGAGAAAACAGAAGACAAACTTAGGTGTCAAGCCACGTATGCCAAGTTCTGACCCAGCATTCTTCTCCCTCTGTGCCCTTTTAGGCAGAGGAGCCGGGTTCAAATCTTACTCTGTGTGACCTTGGCCCTCTTTGGGGCTCCAGTTTCCACATCTGTAAAACGAGGTTAGAGGGGTGGAGCCAAGTTTCTTTCTAGACCCAAATGTATGATCCTTTAAAGCCTAGCTGAAACACCACCTCCTCCACAAAGCCTTCTCAGGGAAGACCTCCCTCCAGTTTCACCTTGTTCCCATACCTTTACAGTCAACTCACTGAATAATGGTGTGTACTAATTACATGTTTGTATCTCATCCCCTGCTAGATCAAAAGCTCCATGAGGCTTAGAGACCCCATGTCATCTTAACACTGCACCAAAACGCCCCAGGGCTGGTACAGTCTTCCAAATGCACTAATAAATTGTTTACTGCACAGATGAATTGTTCAGTGAAAAGACAAGAGGGGGTTGGATGTGGGACCAGGGTTCTGAGTCCTGACTCTGACACTGTGAGACCCAGGGCGAGTCATTTTCCCTCAAACGGGGACAATGCCACTTGGCTTATCTCCTTCACGGATTTTTTTTTTTGTAAAGATCAAACGAGAAAAAGCTGCAGATTCTCTAACAGTAAATGCTATATGTACAAAGCACACCAAAGCTTATTATTACTGAGCTGTGCACCTATGAATTACCTGCCTTTAAATACTCATTACCTGGATTGCCTCCATTTCTGTAGTAAATGAAAGCTAGCCCTCCGATTGGCCAATTGAGGGGGTGGCATATAAGAACGGGCCCTCGGGGGAGGGGGTGTGGGGAAAGGACGAAGGGGGTCAAGCTGTAGTCCTGAGGGACGAAGCTCAATCCCATTGGCGGTGGCGTTTCCTGGCAGTGAAGTCAGGGAGCCTTCTATAGAAGGCCCGAGTGGTTTTTTCACACTTTGGCACTGTGGTTTATAAGAGGAGGCCAGTTTTCAAGCAGACTCTAAGGCTGGGATTGTTCAGAACCTTCCTGGATTTCCCAGTGTTTATAAGCTCCAAACTCATTTGCTTTGGCACTCAAAGCCCCTTGTCTGACCACACCTTGGCTGTCTCCCATGACTGGTGTGCTCTCCCTCCTTATCTCCGCCTCCTGACTTCCTTCAAGTCTCAGCTAAAATCCCTCCCTCCATAAGAAGCCTATCCTCATCCCCCTTAATTCTATACGCTGCTCTGTCGGTCATTTCCAATTTATCCTGTATATTACGAATTGTACATGATTGTTTGCATATTGTCTCCCATTAGTCTGTGAGTTCCTCAGGAGCAAGGACTGTTGGGTGGGTTTTTTTGGTTGTTTTTTGGTTTTGCCTTTCTTTGTATTTCCAATGCTTAGCACAAGGCCTGAAACATAGTAGGCACTTAATAGACACTTGTAGACTGACTGCCACTTCAACCTAGTCTCCCCATGAGGCGCTCTTCATTGGAGCCAGGACAATTTCCTTCCACACACCTGTGCATGATGCGTAAGTGGAAAGAACAACGGTCTTGGAATCAGAAGACCAGAATTCAAATCCTAATTCTGACACTCACTTAGGGGCAGCTCGGTGGTGCAGTGAGCCTGGAATCAGGAAGAGCTGAGTTCAAATTTGGCCTCAGACACTTAATAGTCATGTGACCCTAGGCTAGTCACTTAACCCCATTTGCCTCAGTTTCCTCTTTTATAAAATGGGGATAATACTAGCACCTACCTCCCAGGGTGAGGATCAAAGGAGATAATAATGGTAAAGTGGCTGACACATAGCACTATATAAATGTTAGCTATTATTATTACTACTATTACTTGCTGAATAACCCTAGGTAATCCTTTGAACCTCCCTAAGCCCAGTTTCCTCATCTGTACCAATAGGGGCAATGCGTGCACTACCCCATATCACTGGTATTTGTGAGAAAAAGCACTTCATAACCCTAGAATGTTATAGAAAGCTGAGTTATTTATCCAGTCCTTTGCTCAGGTTACCTCCTTAAAACCCCAGAATATCATCTCCTTTTTCTATCCATCATCACTTTCTACCCATTATTCAAAGCCCCTGTCCTCCACAAAGACTCCCCGCAAACATTGCTGCCTCACATTCCTCACTCCTGCCAAGCTTTGTTAACCTTCCGGTCCTGACACGTCTGTACCTTTCATGTAGCATTTAGAACATAGTCTAACGTTCATGTTCATTCTTCCACATGTCTCTTGTCTCCCCAACTCTACTGTGGGTTCCCTGGGTTGTGACTGGGTCTTCCACTCTTTTCTCTCTCTCTCTGACATCTTTCCAACATCCGGACCTCGTGTTCTCCAACACTCAATCCATCTCTCCTTAACCATCTCAGGTTGTGTGAGACTGATGAGAAGCAGTTGAATGGAGCTTCACAGAGACCAATGACAAGGGATTTAGATGAATCCAATGGAGACCAGTGCAAAGACTGGAGTATCAAATGGAGGGGGTTGAGATGAGGAGAGTAGAAGCCCCTGGCAGGGGGGGTAGGGTCAATCTAAAGAAAGGAACCAGTGGGAAGGTGTTGGGGCTGGGTCCAAAGGGAACATAGAGATGCTAATGGAGAGTGGTTCCAATGTGGATTGCAACCTTTGCCTGATGGGTTGTCTTTGAGCAGGTGTGGCCAACTCCTTCCCCTCTCCTATTCTAGAAGTGAGATGGACATTGTCATGGAGATATCAAGCAGGGAGCTTCCACACATACAACTACCCACATCTGGAGGTCTCAATGTGTGTGAGCCACGTCTGTCAAGCCTCTAGCTGGGCTCTCTTCCCTTGGGCGCCACAGGCTGCCTGGCATCTCATGGACCTGTGTCCTCCTCACCCATGGACCAGCACTGCTTCACTCAAATGGAGACCTCAGTGTTATCCCACCCTGTTCCTCTGAAGTTCTCCCAGGAAGCCTGCACTTAGTCTTAGCTCTTGCTTCTTTGGGATCCGAGACTTTTCCAGCTCTGCTCTCCTTGCCCTCAATTGCTCAGTTCCCAGCTCTGTCCCCTCTCTGTGGCTCTGAGTGCTCAGCTCAGTTATTTATGTACATAGGACTCCCAGCTCTGGAGCCCAGAGAGGAAGGGGACTCCTGGCTCTGGAGCCCAGAGAGGAAGGGGACTCCTACCTTTGGCCTGTTCTCATGTTCCATTTTTGGATCGGGGCTCCAGACCTTCAGCTGCACGCTGACTCTTGTTCAATGGCACACTTCCCTTCTAATTGTGTCCAACTCTTTGCTGTCCTCACACCCCTCTAGCCAGTAGGCCCTACTGATTTCTCTTGACCCTGAACCATCACTGAGATTCTTTCACCAGTATGTAGCAACTAAAGCAAAGACAGCACCCTCCCACCTGAGCTAAGGCCTTGGACTTGGGCCCTCTGGAAGCAGGAGCACCGAGTATTTGCTGAATGAATATGAATGACTAAATGGATGAATGAATGGATTTTTTTTTTCCAGCCAGGAGACTGTTCCTCCTCCTCCTGGAGACAGCCACCCTGCCATCCCAAGGCCACACCAGTGTGAATGAAGAATGAGGCAGCAGAACTAGCAAGGGATCTCCTTTACTGGGGGCAGGTGGGGGCCACGGGGACCAACACCTTCTGTACAGTCTGCTTAGTGTTCTGCCCTCCAGAGCCCACAGCACTCCTCCTGATAGGAGGCCAAGGCAGGAGCTGGGGTGGCAACAACACCCCATGGTTAGTAGAGCATGCAAAGTCCCAGCCAGTGGCTTGGGAGGGAGAAGGAGGAGAAACGTTAAGAAGCCTGAGACCCAGGCAGGCTGGACAGAGCAGCTCTCAGGAAGGGGTGTGGGGCAGGGGAGTGTCGGTGCTCTTGGCTCTGAGGAGGTGAAAGGAGGTCAATGGAAGATGAGATGCTTGGGGAGGGAAGTCCAGCAGCCTGGAGCCCTGTTTTCAGGGCCAGGAGAGGGACCCTAGCACGGGACTCCCAAACCCTCAAGTCAGTGGCAGTTCTGGCTCCAGGCCAAAGGGGGCTGCTTTGAGGGGCTGGCATTGCTTGGGGGGGGGAGGGCAGAGTTGGAGATGCTGCCACAGGCAGCAGCTGGAAGGTTTGGACCAAGGGACAAGGCCGAGTCTGATTCCTCAGGGTGTCCCCCAGGGTCACAGGGCTGCAGGCTCCACGGGAGGGAAGAGGGGCCAGGTGAACACTGGATCACACTACAACAGAGGCAGACACAAAGATGGTGTGAAATGAGAGATGGGTGAGGGGGAGTGGTATGAGAACACAGACGACACAGCATGACAGTTCAGGACACAGCCATAGCAATGTTGGGAGCTCCTCTAGTCCCCTCCACCCTCCTAGCCCGACAGGCCGAGCCAGTCAGGGTGCCCCCTGCTCTATTCTAAGTCAAGCCCAGCTGAGACCCTCAGGGCACCAATGGGCAGGAAAGCCTCATTTCTTCACATTTCCCATCCTAGTATTTCCTGAAGTGACATAGCTTCTCTTCAAATGGTATCTATCCCTCTACCGCCTTGTTCAAGGGCCTCAGCATAAGCAGGGGCAGAGGATGCAGGGATAAAAGGGCCTGGAGAAGGCAAAGAACACTATGGAGGTGATGAGACCTGAGGAGGCAAAGGAGAGATAGGGCCCAGGAAAGATGGCGGCAGTGGGGAGCAGGAGAAGGTTTTTTGGGGAAAGTATAAGGCCCAGGGAAGGGAGGAAAAAAGTTAAGCTGTGGGGCTGGAGAAAGAATCTGGGAAATGGGGATAGAGAGAAGAAAACACATCCTGGAGAAGGGTAGGGAGAGAGAAAGAACAGAGCCTAGGGAAGTGATGGGATGGAATGAGGGGGTACCCTGGAAGATGAGTAAAATAAAGCAGGGGCCAAGGAAGCAGGACAGCAGTCCCAGGTACAGAACCTGAAGAACAGTCAGGACAGCCTTAGAGAACCTAGCATGAAAGGGCATGTGTATCCAGGGAGACTAGAATGAAGAGCAAACTCCCCCTTCCTTCTCTCTGCCCTTGGCCCTGGGGCTCCTCACTCCCACCCCCAACAGCTCCAGCAGCAGAGCAGAGTCAGTCCCAGGGCACAAAGGGGGATGGGGCGGGGGGGGCATTACCTGGGTGGGATGGCCCAGCAGAGGAGCCTCCCGGGAGCCTGGGCCTGGCCCTGGTGGGTTGATGGTGGAGCCCCAGTTCTCGTCTTCCCATGGGGAAGGAGCTTCTCTGGGCAGGCTGGAGAGAGACAGCTGACATAGAAGGAGAATAGGTTATCTCCAAGCCTCCAGGTAGGAGGAGGAGGAGAGGAAATGAAGGGGTGAAAAAGGTTTCTTGGTCCTTCCCGTGGACTTGAGGGGTGGCCAGAGAGGTCTTCTCCCTCTATCCCATCCATAACTGCAGGTCAGCAGTCTGTCCCCCTGGGCCAGCATCCAGCTCCCAATCTGGCCAACACTGACCCAAGAAGATTCTCCCCACCCCACCTGAGGCAGGGCACTTCCCAGACACACCAAGAAGGCTGGCCCCGTGGCTGGCCATCGCCGTTCCCTTTCCCTCCCTCCCCACACACGAGTCCAGCCCCGACAGAAAGCCAAACAGGTGGAGCCCACTGCAGGGTTGGGGGAGTCGGGCTGAGAGGCAGGCAAGAGAGTAGGCAGAGGAGGAAGTCCAACATGCACCGTGGCTCCTGTCCCATCCTGGCGGCATCTTGGTGGTGAGGCCCTTGGCTTCGCGAAAGGGCTGAGGGGCCCCAGGTAGAGGCGGGCTGCCCCTCACCTGACCCAGGGACAGGGAGGAAAGTCCAGGCAGCAGCTGCAGAGGACAGGCTGGGAATCCAGGCAGGGCCCTTGGGATGGAACCACGCGTGACCTGAGGCTAGGCGGAGGACATGTTGCTTAGGGCAGTGAAAAAAGGACAGGTTGTGGCTTGGCCCAGTTCTCCTCCTGCAGAACGGAGGAGCCCGAGAAGGGCAAAAGGGGCAGAACCCGGGGCAGCAGGCAAGAAGTGGAAGAGCCAAAAGGCCCAACGTTTGGGGAAGGTGAGAGCTGGCTCGGACCGAGTCCAAGGCATCAGGCTATGGTGAAGTGGCTGCCAGCATAGATGGTCAGGAGAGTCCTAGAGGGGGGTGGCAAGGCAGGCAGAGAGACAGGGCCCACTTTGCTCCCCTCAATATACAAACTATGTCAGAACAGCAAATATATATTAATATATTAGTCTAGTCTTTTTGGTTAAACTTTAGGCACCGCTTTGGAAGAAGAGTCTTTTTAAAAATTAAAAAAAAAAACCAAGAAAAAAAAAATTAACCCAGGGCACTTAGCTGGCAGATTGACCGCATGCAGAGTAAGAAGGGGCAGGGGAGGGAAGCAGAGGGGAACAGGCAAGGTCAGGGTGGTTATGCCACAGTGGGCTGTGGCCCCCCCAGGGCTGCCCATTCCTCTCCCACTTCCCACCCACAGCTCCCACTCAGGCCGCCCCGATCCAAGGAGAGCTGGGTGGCCTCAGAGGCTTCGTGGGGTCCTGAAGTATACCGGCGGCCATAGCCCGATGAAGAGTAGGAGGAGGAAGAGAAGGTCATGGAGAAACCAGAGCCAGTGGCGTCAAAGCTCCCCCGCCGAGAGCCAGCGCGGGATCCAGTACGGGAGCCCGTCCGGGAGCCCGAGGTGGACCCGGAGCCGCTGACGCTGTAGGGGCTGTAGTAGCCTTTGCTGGACTGGGAAGAGGCTTCCAGCAACCTCAGCCCCGTGCCCTCTTCCGTCATGCTCCGATCCATGGCATCCTTATAGGAGATCTTTAGCTTGGTCTTGGGGCAGGTGAGGTACTTGGAGTAGGTGTTGACATCACGGAGTTTCTGGGCGGTTCGGGCATCGATGGTTCCCTTCTGCAGGGCTTCCTCCAGGGGCACCCGGGTTGGTGTGTCGGGCTCAATCAGTCCCCCTGTCAGGTACTGCACCTCCAGGAAGCGCTGCCCTGCCTCATAATAGAGCCAGCCCTTCTTCAGGGCTTGAGCTGCGGACATTTTCGTCTTGGTCCGTGGGTCCTCGAAACCATAGAAAGCCTTCTGGGCCAAGTTGATCCTGTCCACCATGATCTTATCCACTAGCCCCTTGTTGACAGCATCAGTGACTGGGAACTTCTCTCCAGTGTTGGGGTCGATGATGCCCCCGGTGCAGGCCTGGGCCTCCAACAGTCTCTGGCCGGTGATGTTGTCCACTAGGTTTCGGTGCATGGCCTCAGTGATAGACACCTTCTCCAGGGTGTCTGTGTCTAGAATTCCAGCCACTGGCCCCGTCTCCTCAGTAGGGTCAGTCCAGGAAGTGAGCTGAGTCCTGGAGACAGCTGGGCTGATAGGATAAGAGGAAGAGGAGCCCACAGAGGATGACCTCGAGCGGAAGCCACTCACGTTACCTGACAGCATGTCAGCGAATTCAGTGATGGAGAGCGTGCCAGCACGGTACTGGTCGAGCGCTGACTGGTCAATTAAGCTCTTCGAAATGGCATCATCAATATCATATTGCCGGCCAGAGCGCCGGTCAATGATCATAGACTTGACCACCCCATCTGAGGAGGAGATGGTGATCTCCTCCCACTCACACTCTTGTTCAGACAGCTCGAGGTATGTCTGATGGTCAATGAGCCCCTTGCGATAAGCCTCATACACAGACATCTCCTTGCCTGTCTCAGGATCCACAATCACCACCCGCCGCTTACGGACGGACGACTTGGAAGAGGTCTTTCTCTCCCGTTTTTTCTCCTTCAGTGGCAATAGGCAGAGGCCTGTCTCTGGGTCAGTGATGCACCGCTCCATCAGCTGCAGGTAAGTGAGATTTTCCTCTGTGTTGGGATCAAAGAAGCCCTTGGTGTCATCTGAGGGGTCAGTCAAGATCTCGTTCATCTCCTCATCAAACAGGCCACGCTTATAAGCTACTTCCACAGGGAGTCGGTGGCTCTCCTCAGGGTCAATGATGCCCCCTGTTGCAATCTGAGCCTCCAGCAGGCGGATGCCATGGTCCTTCAGTATCAAACCTTTCTTCATGGCCTGAAAGAGGGAGATGAGTTTCCCAGAATAGGGGTCTTTGTACCCAATCACAGCCCGCTCGGCAGAGATCAATTTGTCTTTGAACTCAGGGCCCACGATGCCCATGCGGACAGCCTCTTCCACTGTGAGCTTAAGCCCTTTAATGGGATCAATAACATAGCCTGTGGCTGCCTGGGCTTCCAGGAGCTCAAAGGCAGTGCCAGGACGAATGATGCCTTTTTTCATGGCCTGGTAGACTGAGAGCCGCTCCTTGGTAGAGTCTACAAAGACACCGGCGATGCAGCTGGTACCCTCCAAGTACTTCTTTAGATTTTTGGAGACTTCTTCGACGGAAGTCAGCCCCTCCTGCAGCTGGAGGGCGGTCGCCTCATCCATGACCTGGGATCGGACCAGCTCCTCCACCGTGATCTGTTTCCGCAGGCCCCGGAATGTCAGTTTTCGGGTGTCTGAGAGGGGGAGGAGTAACTGACCGCTGTTCTCGTCTCGGCGACACCGTTTCAACAGTTGTGTGTAGTTGAGCTTCTCCTCCGTAGATGGGTCCACATAGCTCCTGATCTCACTGGGCTCTGACAACTGGTTGTATGTGTCTTTGTTCAGGTAACCTCGCTGGTAAGCAATCTCCAGTGGGAGGTGGAAGCCCAGGCGGGGGTCAATGATGCCACCAGTGGCTAGCTGAGCATCCAAGAGCCTCAGAGCTTCCTCAGAAGAGATCAAATCCTTCTTCATTGCCTGGAAAAGGGAAATGGTCTGCTCGGTGTATGGGTCCCGATAGCCAGTCACTGCTCTCTCTGCTGAAAGAAGCCGGTCGTGAATCTCTGGGCCCACCAGCCCTTTCCTCACAGCTTCATCTACAGTGAGCCGCTCATTCTTTATTGGGTCAATCATGAAGCCAGTGGCCGCCTGTGCCTCCAGCAAGGTGCGGGCGATCTCAGAGCTAATGAGCCCTTTCTTCAAAGCCTGATAGATGGTCAGTTTCTGCTTAGAGGCAGGCAGATAGATGCCTGCCACACAGCCACTCCCATACAGGTAGCGCCAGGTGGTCTCCACCTCCAAGATCTCTCGGATGGTCTTGGTTCCCTCTCGAAGGAGGTTGTAGGTCTCCAGGGAAATGATGCGGGCCTCATAAAGATCCTCGGCAGTGATACGGCGCCGGACATAATCATAGGAGTTGAGGTTCTGCTGACGGATGATCTCAGTCTTCTCAATGATCTCAATGATGATGATAATCATTCGTTCCTTTGTGACCTTCCCAGCACGGAAGTCCTCCATGAGTCGCGTGCGCTGCTCTTCAGGGATCATGTCTGACTGCATTACCTCCCAGAGAGACATGGAGGTGCTTCCCTGGCTACCACCTGGGATGTCAATCTGGGTTTCTTCAAATGCCTTGCGGGTCTCTTCCTCTGTGTACACCTGCGTCGTCTCCACCACTTCTGGCTTTTCAGGCTTCTTCAGAGACAGAAGGTAGAGGCCAGTCTCAGGGTCTTCTACACATCGCTGCTTCAGCTGCAAGTAGGTGAGATTCTCTTGGGTATTGGGGTCAAAGAAGCCCTTGGTGTCATCTGAGGGGTCAGACAGGATTCTATTCATCTCCTCATCAAAGTAGCCACGCTTGTAGGCCACCTCCACAGGGACACGGTGACTGTTGACGGGGTCGATGATACCACCTGTGGCAATCTGGGCCTCCAGGAGGCGGATGCCATGGTCCCTAAGAATCAGACCCTTCTTCATGGCCTCAAAGAGGGAGATGGTATTGCCTGAGTAGGGGTCTTTATAACCAGTGACAGCCTTCTCAGCAGAGAGCAGCTTCTCATGTAGCTCTGGCCCCACCACACCAGCTTTCACTGCTTCATTAACATACAGACGCTGGTTTTTTATGGGGTCAATCACGAAGCCAGTAGCAGCCTGGGCCTCCAAGAGAATGATGGCTGTGCTGGGCCTCAGCAGGTTCCTTTTCATTGCCTGGTAGATGGTCAATTTCTCTTTGGTCTCCTCCACATAGATGCCAGCAATACAGTCGGTCCCCTGGAGAAACCTCTTCACAGAGTCTGTCTCAGAGATATCTTTCACAGACTTCCTGCCATCCTTCAGTTGTTCAAACTGGGCTCTGCTGATGATCCTGGACTCAAGGAGCTCACTGGCTGCCACCGGTGTCCGCAGGCCACTGAATGTGAGTTTCTCCTGTCTCTTGGTCTCTGTCTCTTCAATGATGGTTACCATGATCTTGATGATTTTCTCAACAGTGACTTTGCCCGTCTTGTATTGACGGATAAGCTCCCTCCTCTGCTCCTCAGTGAAGTACTCAGAATTGATCAGCTCCCAGATGGTGATTGTCCTTCCCTTGAAGCTGCCAACTGGGACTTCAACTGTAGCTTTTTCAAATGATTCCTTGGCTTGGAGGTCAGTGTAGATCTCTTCCTGTTGAGCACGAATAGCTTTCTCTGAGAGAGGCAGTAGATACAGGCCTGTCTGTTTGTCTGTTCGGCACCTCTTCTGCAACTGGCTGTAAGTGAGGTGTTCTTGAGTGTTGGGGTCATAGAAGGCCTTGGCACTATCTTTAGGAGTTGACAGGGCCTTGGTCATCTCTTCATCTAAATAACCCCGCTCATAGGCGACATCCAGGGGGACACGGTGACTCTTCCCAGGGTCAATGATGCCACCAGTGGAGAGCTGAGCATCTAGCAAACGTAGGCCATGGTCACTAGGAATGAGACCCTTCTTCAGTGCCTGGAACAGAGAGACAATCTGCCCAGTGTATGGGTCCTTATACCCAGTTACAGCTTTCTCTGCAGAGAGTAACTTCTCATGCAGCTCTGGGCCCACCAGGCCAGATTTCACAGCCTCGTCCACTGATAGCCTGGCATTCTTAAGAGGGTCAATGATGTGCCCAGTGCCAGCTTGGGCCTCCAAGAGGGAGAGGGCCACCTCAGGCTTCAGCAGGTTCTTTCTCAGGGCTTCGTAGGGGCTCAGCTTTTGCCCGGTCTCCTCCACCCACACCCCGGCAATGGCATTAGCTCCACGCAGGTACTTCTTCACGGTCTCCACCTCGGCCACCTCCTGCACTGTTTTCTTGCCCTGGCTCAGCTGATGGTAGAGATCTTTGTTGATGACTTTGCTCTCCAGCAGCTCGGCGGCTGGGACAGGGGCGCGGAGGCCCTCAAAGCACAGCTGGCTTTTCTTCTCATGCTCTTCGACGACGGTGATGATGATCTTGATGATTTTCTCCACGGTGATCTTGCCTGTCCTGTATTGCCGGAGGAGGTCTCGCCGCTGGTCCTCCGTGAAGTACTCCGAGTTGATGATTTCCCAGATGGTGACCGTCTTCCCACGGAACCTGCCGAAGGGGGCGGACACGGTTGCCTTCTTGAAAACATCTCTGGCCTCGTTGTCAGTGTAGACCAGCTCTCCCCCTCTGGCTGCTCTGTCCGTGAGCGGCAGGAGGCAAAGGCCAGTCTCCGGGTCGGTGACGCAGCGCTCCAGCAGCTGCAGGTAGGTGAGGTTCTCGTGCGTGTTGGGGTCAAAGAAGCCCTTGGTGTCGTCCGAGGGGTCAGACAGAGTCTTCGTCATCTCCTCATCCAAGTAGCCACGTCTGTAGGCCACCTCCACAGGCACGCGGTGGCTCTGCACGGGGTCGATGATGCCTCCCGTGGCGATCTGGGCCTCCAGCAGCCTCACGCCGTGGTCCTTGATGATGAGGTCCTTCTTCATGGCCTGGAACAGGGAGATCTTGTCTCCAGTGTAGGGGTCCTTATAGCCAGTCACCGCCCTCTCTGCCGACAGCAGTTTGTTGTGCAGCTCCGGCCCGACGATGCTCTCCTTCACTGCCTCGTTGACAGACAGCCTCTTGTTGCTGACAGGGTCGATGATGAAGCCGGAGGCGGCCTGGGCCTCGAGCAGGATGAGGGCGGTGCCTGGGCTCAGCAGCTGCCTCTTCATGGCCTTGTAGATGCTGACCTTCTCGTTGGTTGGCTTAAGCAGCAGCCCGGCAATGCTGCTCCGGCCCTGAAGGTACCTCCTGACGTCTTCTCTCTGCGACAGCTCCGTCACCGTGGCCGTGCCCTCCGCAAGTCGGTCCAGCTGCTCCCGGCTCAGGATGCCAGCCTCCTCCAGCTTCTTGGCCGAGACCTTCTGACGGAGGCCGTCGAACGCAAACTCGGGCTCCCCGTTTTGGGCCAGGCCATCGAGGGCATCTCGCCCATTGGGCAGGGCCTTGGCCTGGGTTACCCTCTCCTCCGTCTGGATCATGACGGCCCGGGTCTGAGCCAGAGCCGCCCGGTGCTCCTCCTCCAGCCTCTCCAGCTTCTCACGCAGCTTCTGGTTCTCATCAGCCAGCAGCTTCTCCTGCTGCAGCCTCCGCTGCTCCAGCTGCTGCAGCTCCTCCTGCTTGCGCCGGACGTTGTCCTCTGCCTCCTTCTGCCTCCTCTTGGCCTCGTCCATGCTGGTGATCAGCTGCTGTTTCTCCTGCTCCATCTGCTTCTGCTGGCGTTCTTGCTCGGCCTTCAGGTTCTGGGCCTTGTTCACCTCCTCCTGGAACAGCTTCTCCAGCTTGGCTTTCTCCTCCTCGATGAACCGTTCCCTCTGCAGCAGGCTGTCCTTCTCAGTGAGGAAGGTCTGCTGCAGCATCTGAGTCTCATGCAACAGCTGCTCCTTCTGGGCCATCTGCATCTGCAAGAGGCAGGGACGAGAGAGCCTTCAGGTCAGACCAAGCCTGCTCCCCACCCATCAGACAACAGAGCACGGCGTGGCTCAGCTCGGCTCAGCAACTGACTGGGGGCAACGTGGGCAAGGGACAGGCCATGGCACCAGTGGCCTGCACCACGGGCACATGTTAGAAAGAAATCCCCTTCTAAAGCATACATCATAGCATATTATAAGGAAGTAGGCACCTCCAGTCAGGTGGAAAAGGACAAATTTAGTTAGGAAAAACCAGAAGACCATAGGTAGATGGCCAACTGTTTGACGTCACCACTACAACAGAGCAGTTGTAATGGAGTGGCTTTAAGGACCGAGCTGGACTAACAACAAGAACAGTGACGACTATGAAGGGTAGGGGATAGTTGGAGTGGGACTAATGGCTGCACCCAAGGGCCAAATGAGAGACACTCACCCTGCTGGAAGTTAACTGTTCCTGTATGGTCAGACAGGGAAGGGGGAGGGGAAGTGGGAGAGGGAGGGGGAAATTAAAAAAGGGGGGAGGGGTCGATCTGCATCTTCTCTTGGGAAGTGTCTCCCTTAGGGAAACCCAAAGCCTAGCCCTCAGCCTGCTGAGGGCCTCGCCAGCAAGACTTTAACCCCAGAAGAAAGGAGAGAAGCAAAGGTACCTCTTCCGACTTGTGCTGGAGCATCTCTGCCTCACGCTTTAACTTCTCCTTCTCCCTCTCCAGCTCTGCGATGGCCTCTTTCAGCTTGTCGGCATCCTTGTCACTCTGCTGCCTCTGGATCTCCAGGGTGTGCACCAGCGTCATCTTCTCCCCTCGTGGCCAACTCCGTGCGATGGAGCTTCTCGCCGATCTCCTCAGCCTGCTTCTTGAACTTCCGGGCATCCTCTTCCGCCTTAGCCTGCGCCAGGCTCATCTCGGTCACGTGCAGTTTCAGCCGCTCGGCCTCGGCGCTCATCTCCAGCTGGCGGCGGCGTTCAGCTTCCAGCGTCTTCTGGAAGCCCTCGGTCTCCTGCGCGAGGCGCTGCTCCATCTGATCCTTGTCCTCCTGGAGCTTCTTGGCTTGCTCCTGGGCCAGGTCCTTTTGCTTCTGCAGCATCTCTGCCTCGGCCTTCAGCCTCGTGGCCTCCTGCACGGCCTGCATCTTCTCCTTCAGCATCTTCTCGGCCAGCGCCCGCTGCTGGGCCAGGTCCTCTTCGGCCAGCTTGCGGAGCCGTGCGGCTTCCTGGGCTTCCACGCTCAGGCGGGCGGCCTCCTCGGCCACCTGCTTCATCTTCTCCGCCTCCTCTACCAGGAATTTCTGGGTGTTGTCTTTGTCCTTGAGAATCAGCATCTTGTTCTCCTCCTCGATGCGGGCCTTCAGCTTCACCAGCTCCTCCATCTGGATCTTCACTTTGAAGAGCTCCTCCTCCACCTGTGTCTTCTGCTTCATGGCGTCAGTCACCTCCTCCTTCAGACGCTGCAGCTCCTCATCCAGGATGTCCTTCTGGTGGTCGGTCTCCTCCAGCTGAAGCTTCACCTTGGTCAGCTCCTGTTCCACCTGAGCCTTCTGCCTCAAGGTCTGCTCTGCAAACTTCTTGTGTTTCTCCATCTCTGCATCGGCAGCCTGTTTCTGCCGCAGCGCCGCCTGCTCCGCCTGGGCCCGCTTGGCGGCCTCCAGCTCTGCCTCCTTGCGCAGCTTCTCTGCCGAGGCCTGGGCCTGGGCCTGGGCCTGAGCTTGCTCCTCTGCCTGCTGCTTCAGGCGCTCAGCTTCTTCCACCTGCTGACGTGACAGGGTGGCCTCGTGCTCCGCCCGGTGCCGGGCCTCCTCAGCTTCCTCGGCGGCTCGCTTGGCCTTCTCCGCCTCCTCCCTCAGCTTGTCCAACATGCTCTGCTCCTGCCGACGGGTCTGCAGCAGCTCCTGCTCCTTCTGCTGCACGGCAAATACGTGGGCCTTCTCCTCGGCCTGCAGCCGCTTTTGGGCGGCCTCCTCAGCCAGCTGGATCTGCCGTTCCGATTCTTTCTCCGCCAGTTCTTTTTGGCGTTTGGCTTCCTCAACCTTGGCTTTAAGGCGCTCCACCTCCTCCAGAGCCGCCTTCCTCTGCCGGGCGGCCTCCTGCTCTGCAGCGAGGATCTTCTTGACCTTGTCCTCGGCCTCCCGTCGCCGCTGCTCCTCCTCCAGCGCCAGCTGCCGCTGCTTCTCAGCCTCGCGCTCGGCCTGCTCCTTGCTCTTCTGGATTTCCTCTGCGCTGCTCTTGATGCGCCCCAGCTCCAGCTCCAGGTCCGTCTTGCCGGCGGAGGCCTTCTCAAAGTTGATCTTGAGGATGCGGATCTCCTCTTCGATGATGCGCCGCTGCTTCAGGGTATCGTCCACCAGGCCCTTCTGGCGCTCCAGCTCAGTCTCCGAGGACTTCTTCAGCAGGGCGATCTTCTCCTCGATGTCAGCCTTGTGCTGGGCCGCCTGCTCCTCCAGCAAGCGCCGCTGATAGGCCTCATCCTCTGCAAGCCGCCGGAGGCGTTCATTCTCCGCTTCCTTCTCCTTCAACGCGATCTCCGCCTCCGTTTTGAGCCTCGTGGCCTCACTGATGGCGGCCAGTTTCTCCTTGAGGATGCGTTCGGCCTCCGCCCGCTGGCGGGCCACATCCTCCTCTGCCAGCTGCCGCTGCCGCTTGGCCTCTTCTGACAGGGCCCGCAACCGAGCAGCCTCCTCTGCCAGCTCCCGGAACTTGCTGGCTTCAGCCTCCAGTCGCTGCTTGGACTTCTCACTGGTGGAGCGTGACTCCTCCTCTGTCTTTGCCTTGCTCTCCAGGAGGATCTCCATTTCTGCTCGCACCTTTGCCAGCTCCTCCTCTACCTCTTTGCGCTTCTGAATGGCCTCGTTCACCTCATTCTTGAGGCGGAAGAGCTCCTCCTCCAGGAGCAGCCGCTGCTGCTCCCCGTTCTCCGTCTCTGCCTTCAGCCGGATCAGCTCCTGCTCGGCCGAGAGCTTCTGCTGGGCTGTGCCCTCTGCCAGCTTCCGCTGCTTCTCCAGCTCCTGCTCCGCCAGCTCCTTCTGCCGCAAGGCCGACTCCTCCGCTTTACTCCTCTTGCGGGCCTCCCGCTCCGCATCTTCTTTCTGTTTCTCCGCCTCCTCTTGCGCAAGAGTCTTCTGGTGGGCAATCTCCTCTGCCTGGAGCCGCATGCGCAGGGCGTCGTTGGCTTTTGCCCGCCACTTTTCCAGCTCCCGTTCAGCCTCCTCGCGGAAGCGCTCGGCCTCTGCCTGCTGCTTCTTCAGGCGCTCAGCCTCCTCCTGCAAGTGGGTGACGGTGATGTGCTCTTGCTTCAGGCTCAGCTCGAGCTGGGCCGTCTTCTCAGCAAAGGACATCCGCTTGCTCTGGAGCTCTACCTCTGCACTCCGCTGGGCCGTCTCCAGGGCCACCTGCACCTGCCGTTCCTTCTCGGCCTCTGCCTGTTTCATGCGCCGCTCTGCCTCCTCGGCCTGCAGGCGCAGCTCCTCCAGGGCCTGCAGGGCCCTCTGCTTCTCTCTGGCAGCCTCCTGCTCAGCCTGGATCTTCAGCCGCAGTTCTTCCTCCGCCTGGCGTTTCTTCTGGCTCTCCTCCTTCACCTGCCGCCGCAGGCGTTCGGCTTCCTCCTGGGCCTGCTTCTTCTGCAGCTCGGCCTCCTCGGCCCGGGCCCGCAGAGCCTGCAGCTCGGACTCGGCGCCACTCTTCTGACGCTCCGTCGTCTCCAGTTGCAGGCGAATCACGCGGATCTCTTCCTCGATCCGCAGACGGTTCCTCTCGGCTTCCTCGACCTGCTGGGCCTTGGCCTTGATCTCCAGGTCCGAGTTCTGCCGTAGCTGCTGCAGCTCCTGCTGAATGTTGAGCTTTTGGTGCTGGGCATCCACGGCGACCACCTCCCGCCGAGCCACCTCCTCCTGCATGCGCCGCTGAAGCTCCTGGGCCTCGCGCTCCGCCTGGGCCTTGGCCTGGGCGTGGGCCTCGGCCAGCTGCCTCTGCTTCTCCAGCTGAGCCTCCACCTCTGCCAGCCGCTGCCTCTCCTCCGCCTTCAGCTTCTCTGCCGCCCTCTGAGAGGGAGGTGGGCAGGGCAGGGCAGTGCGGGGTGGGGAGAGAGGGAAAGAACCACAAAGAAACCAAAGTGAACAGACAGCAGGGAAATCTGCTGCTCGACGAGCAAATCAAATGGGGAAAGGGACTGGAAGGCAGACAATGGGGGAGGCAGGGCAGGGGAGACCGAGCCCCATGCCTGGGGCCACACAAGGAGGACATAGCACTGCAACAGTCCACTTAGTACAGCGAGGTGATGGGATGGGAGATGGAAGGGAATGAGATGAACGGATGGGGATCCAGACATGGGAGGACAGCTCTGGGGGTCGACAGGACAGGACTCTCCACCATCAGAGAAAACAATCCACGGATGGAACATGCACCAAGCCCAAGGCAGATGGGAACAGCATGAGAGCAGCTTGCACCCCCTCTCCATGCTTCCTGGCCTGGCGGGAGACCGAGGCTTCCTTCCTTCCCCTGCCCGTGCCATAGGATGGACAGACAGAGATGGACAAAAAGCAAAGCACCAACACCACGTGTGAGTGTGTTTGTGTGTGTGTGTGTGTGTGTGTGTGTGTGTGTGTGTGTGTGTGCGCACATACTGGGGACTTCCTTTCTCATTTTCCCTTTCTCCTAAGTTCTGTTGGAAAAGTGATACTGGGGATGTGGGCTGGTCTCCTCTATCTTCTGCTCTCTGCTTTCTCTGGGGGAAGTGAAGGTCACCATCTATCTGTAAAGGGTCTTGGTTGGTGGCTTTGGAATCACAGAGCAAGACACAAGGGCTTCCTTAAGCCCTCAGAGAAACAAGCATTGGCTCCTAAAAGACCCTAGAGCAGAGCAGAATGGGGTAGGGGTGCCCCCCTCCCCATCTCCTCCAACCTGCAGCTTTGCTCCACAGCCACCTTCCTTTTCCCAAGTTCAGGCCAAGGTAGGTGCGCTGCACAGGTGACAGGAGTATAGGCCACCCTGGTGGCTACAGATGAGAGACAAGGGGTCTTGAGCTGGGAAACAGCCATCTAGGTGGTGGTGAGGGAGGGAAGGGAAGAAAAGGACCTGTGATCATATGAGGTGTGCTGATGGAGCAAGGGAGGAGAGATCGTTGATGGTACCGAGGAGGTGCTGATGGGGAAGGGGAAGGAGAGGGCACTGGAGGGCCCCATGGGGAGACACTGAGGGGAGGAGTCATGCGTCCAGGGCAGTACCTGCTGCAGAAAGGCCAGAGTCCTCCTGGGTTTTTACCCTCCATTAGATCCCAAACAACACAAACATTCCCCCAGACAAAGCTGCCAAGCGGCGAGTCCAAGAGCAAAACCCAAGAGTTAGAGAGAAGGGAGCACACGGGGAGGGAGGAGGAGGAGGAGGAGAAGGGGAAGGGGGATGCTGAAAAAGAAGAGAGAGGGGAGAGACCCAACAAGCTCCAGCAGGGAAGGGGGCCTAGGGAGCACTGCAGCCTGGGGGGAAGGAGGAAAAGATGGCAGAAGGCAGCATCTGAGCATGAAGAAGGGGGCTGTACTAAGTGTGTCTGAGAAGTGCTTCCCATTCTTCCCACCAGAGCCAGGCTGGGGGGTTCAGGACAGGGGGAAGATCTGAGGAGCAAGGAAACCACTAAGAGGCCCCACTTGGGGGGGCTCTTCTCCTCATCTCTTGGCTACATCTCAAGGCCAGAAGGGCAGGGGAGCTGGGGTCCGAGTTAGCAATAGCACATAACTCTCAGGGCAGGACAAGGTTGCTGACCGCTGGGAAGGAAGGCTAGCTGCTCCCTCCCACCCTGGGAAAGTCCCCTCCCTTAAGCCCATACCTCTTCCTCCTCCAGGCGCCGAAGGGTCTCACTGATGAACTTGATGTACTGGCTTGTGAGGGTGGTCAGTTCACTGTAGCGGGTACGAAGATCCACATACTAGAAGAGAACAGAGCCCGGTGACCTTGCTCAGTGTCTGAAGGGTGGCTGTGTCCAGATACGGCCCCCTTTACTGCCACCCCACCACACACACAGAGAGTGTGTACATACACACATATGCCATGCACACACATGTACGTGTATGCTGGACACTCAGCAGCCCAGGAGGGACACCTGGGGAATAGGGGTGGGGGGCCCAGGCCAGCTGTACCATGGGAGGGTCACTTAATTCACTGGATCATAGCTTTGGAGCAGGAGGGGACATTTAGTCTGGCTTCTTTGAGCCACAGATCAGAAAACTGAAGTCCAGAGAGATTTAAGTGATTTGTCCAAGGTCACAGAGGGAGCAACAATTGAGATGGGAGTGAAGCTTGGGTCCTTTGATTCCAGTTTCACTTTGGGGTAAGGGTGGCTGACTGCTTGCCAGAAGGAGCCAGAAAAAATCTCCATTCTTCCCCTACCCTTACCCCCAGGCCCCAGGAAGGCCAGGGCTCTCTGAGCCCACCCATCTGGCCTCTGCCTATCCACTCCCACCCCCAAAGGCTCAGCGGGGCCATCAGCTGGTGGGGAGGGGCCCCCACGCATTGCCACACCGGGCCTCACCTCCTGGATGATGCTATCTGACACTGACTGGACCTTGGGTTTCTTGGCAGGGGAGGCCACAGGTTCCACTTGAGCCTTGTACGTCACCAGCTGCAGCTCATAGTCCTATAGGAGGAAGAAAGAAAGATTCTGACTTTCAGGATGGCTAGTTCTGGTGGGGAGGGGCCCAGCTAGAGCCTCTGTTTGCTCCTTCCCTATTGTGGGAAGTGGGGCTTCCTTAGGTATCTAAAGTGGCAGAAAGAGCTCTAGGCCTTAGGTCTGCTTCCACTGTGATCTCTGTCCCTCTGAGTCTGACTGTGTTCAGGCTGGACCCTTCCCATCTGTCCTCAGGATCCTTATGCCCCCATGCCACAGACTTCTGGCCATTCTGCCAGCCAAGGCAGAATGCAGTGCACACAGCCCTTGTGTGTATAAGGAGGGAAGCATTTCTGTGGCTCTGCTTTTGTTCAAAAAGATCAGAAGGAGATGGAGGAGGATACAGAAATCCTCCAGTGACAACCAGGGCCCTGTCCTAGGCCATCCACAAGGGCTCCAAGCCCACCATGTCCCACATGCGTGGCCCCAAACCATATTTTTTTTTCCTTTTCTTCTGGGCCTTAGTCCTTGTCTGAGATAGCTAAGTGGCCCAGGGGACAGAGCACTGAACTTGGAGTCAGGAAGACCTGAGTTCAAATCCAGCCTTGGGTACTTACTAGCTGTGTGAGCCTAAGCAAACCACTTAATCTCTGCTTGCCTCAGGTTCCTCATCTGTAAAATGGGGATAATAATAGCACCGCCTTCCCAGAGGTGTTGTGAGGATGAAATGAAATATTTGTAAAGTGCCCAACAAAGTGCCTGGTACATAATAGGTACTTACTGAATATTTAATTCCTTCCTTCCTTGTCTAAGTACTAACTATTTCTCTCCTGAGCTCCTGCAGTCGCTTTAATGACATCTCCTCTCAAGTCCACCCTTATAAATTATCTTTCTCACATCACACCAAATCTCCAAAGGATTTTAATTTCCCTCCTAATCAAGGCCAAACACTCAATCAGTTACTTCCAGCCTCCTTCTCCCTTGGGGACCATGGATTGTAGGGTTATAGATTTAGAACCAGAAGGGATTTTAGAAGGTCATTGAGTCCAAACCCACACACTTTACAGATGAGGAAACTGAGGCACACAATGGTCAGGCGATTTGCCTAGGGACACATAGCTAGTGTCTGAGGCAGGATTTATTTAAACCTTGGTCTTCCTAACTCCAAGTCCAGGGTCCTATCCACTCTACCATGCTTCCCCTATTGGTCAAAGGAGGGACCTGGTAAGTGTAAGGAGACAGGGAGAGTAACCCACGGGCCTACAAGGAACCTATCTACCATCGGTGGTATCCCTGGTCTCCTTCTCAGTGTCTGGGAGAGGGAAAACAGGGGTGCACAAAGCTCAGAGGCAAGCATCTTAGAGTCCTCACCTTGATGGCATTAATGTATTGCTTGGCATACTTCTGACACTCAGTGACTTTCTCTCCATGTCTTTCAATTTCTTCCAGGAGTTTCTGAGAAATCAAAGCCCATTGGGTTCAGTTCTTCTACAGTTCTCCCCTAACTCTGAACCCTTCCCCTATCCTCCTTCTAACATGGAATTGTCCCCCCCAAAGTCTCTATGGAATTCCTTACCTCGGCAGGAGAACGGCTTCCTGAGCTTGTGATTGGCAAGCACTGCCCTCCCTGAGCCTCCCCCAACAGTCTCAGACCCCAGTGCTGACCTTTTCCTGCTGGAGCTGCTCACGGACCACCTGGCTATCAGCCAAGGGCACAGCCTGAATCTGCTCCTGCCGTTGCTTGGCGCTTAGGAGCCAGGCATTCAGGGGCTCCGCGCTCTCACGGTAGTAGCGCAGCTGGCGGCCCAGCTGATCCAGTTCTCGCTGCCGCAAGTCAATCTGGGCCAGCACAGCCTGCCAGCGCTCCAACAGCTGCGTGACCCGCTCCCGCCAGCGCTCCAGCTCTGCATCCCGCTCCCCGTGCTTCTGCTGCATCCGATCGCCCACCTCCTGTGCCGCCCTCAGCTCCTCGTTCAGCCCCGCAAATAGAGGCTGCTGGGCTTCCACCTGCGATGCGTAACTTCTGTTCCAGGGAGAGGTGACCATCAGTATGGCCCAAGCCACCTTGGTACCCACTCCCCTCCGTCCCCATCTTCCAACCCGGCCCATTCCCCCTTTATTCATTAGGGCCCAATAGAACAGGCAAGGAAGAGGAAGCCAGGACTCACAGAGGGGGGACATGGGTGCTGTCTTCAAATACCTGAAGGCCTGTAGTGGGGATAGGGATTAGATTTGATCTACAGGAGGGCAGAATTAGGAGCAATGACAGAAGGCCATTCATTTCCTTTCAATGAATCAAGAGCTGTCCAATAATGGAATAGAACGGGCTGCTCCACTGCACGTCCAAGACAGCTTGAGGGAGGGGGGCAGGATTTCTAGATGATGTCAGAGGTCTCTTCCCTTCAAAGGTTCTTTGGCTATGGCCTAGGGTAGGGCAGCTAAGAACCCTGCAGCCCCAGACCAGCTCAGACCCATTACCTTCAACTCTGCCTTGGTGGCCTCCAGCTCCGAGAGATCAGCAGGGACGTTCTGCACATCCTTGAGCTGCTCCTCATAGGTACGCAGAACCTCCTCTGCACCCTGGGTGCTACGGATCACGAGACTGATGGTCTTGAGCCTGTGAGTAATGGAGGCCTAGGTGAGACCGGGGGCAGTCCCAGGAACCTGAGCCCAGGGAGGGAGGACTCCAGTGCCCCTCGAGGAGGCAGGGTAAGAAGTGGGGTACTCACTTTTCCAGGTAGATGGCAGACAGGCTGCGCACCTGGTCCAGCTTGACTAGAGTCAGGTCCAGTTCAGAGCGAAGGGCAGGGGCTCCAGGTGAGGGCTCAGGCTGGGCAAGCACCTTCTCTGCCTTAGTAGAGAGTTTGGTCACTCCCTGGCCCAGGCCCTCCACTTCTGCCTGTACCTTCTGCAAGGGGGACACAGAAAAAGACACATAGAGATGGGAATGGTGAGAAGGTGGGAAATGAGACTGAACTGGAAACAAGCAGCAAAGGGAGGCAGGCAGACCCAGAGACAGAGAGGGAGATGTACCGGCAAGGGACCCAGGGGAGGACCGAGATGGAGAGGCCCAGAAGGACAGAGGTCGAAATTGATAGAGAGATAGACACAGATCAAAAGGGAGAAAGACAGAGAAGTACAGAAAAATAACAGAATGTTCAAGGCTGAGTCAGTGCCTGGGGACATCCAAGGTCACTGGGGTAGGACCCAGAATAGCCTGGGGAGGGGGGCTGCCTATCATAAGGTCAGCTAGGGAGTAGAGTACCAGGCTAGGGGCAGAGGAGGCAGTGAGGAGGGAGGAAGAGGACGCAGAGAGGGAAGGCCAAGAGGGAGAGAAGGACAAAGCGGGGGGGAAGAGGGAGAAAAGAAGGACAAAGAGAGAAGGAGGGGGAAGAGGGAGAGAGGGAGAAAGAGGAGGATGGGGAGAGGGAAGAGCAAGAGAAAGGAAGGAGGACAAAGAGAGAGGGAGGGGGAAGAGGGAGAAAGGAAGGACAAAGAGAGAGGTGGGAAGAGAAGGGGAAAAGGGAAGGAGAAGAGGGAGAGAGGAAGGACAAAGAGAGAGGTGGGAAGAGAAGGGGAAAGGGAAGGAGAAGAGGGAGAGAGGAAGGACAAAGAGAGAGGTGGGAAGAGAAGGGGAAAAGGGAAGGAGAAGAGGGAGAGAGGAAGGACAAAGAGAGAGGTGGGAAGAGAAGGGGGAAAGGGAAGGAGAAGAGGGAGAGAGGAAGGACAAAGAGAGAGGTGGGAAGAGAAGGGGAAAGGGAAGGAGAAGAGGGAGAGAGGAAGGACAAAGAGAGAGGTGGGAAGAGAAGGGGAAAAGGGAAGGAGAAGAGGGAGAGAGGAAGGACAAAGAGAGAGGTGGGAAGAGAAGGGGAAAAGGGAAGGAGAAGAGGAGAGAGGAAGGAGGACAAAGAGAGAGACAGGAAGGAGGAAGAGAAGGGAGGAGGAAGGCAGGCCGGCTAGGAAGGGGAAGCAGGGACACTACCTGCTGCTCAGTGATACGCTGAGCACACTCGCGGGAGGGCTCCTTCTCCAGTGGCATGCGGAGCCGATGGACAATACGGCCCTCACAGGCCTCTAGTTGGAGACGGATGTCCTTCAGCTCAGAGATATAGCGTTGGCACAGAGACTCTTCCTGTTCTCCTATGGGTAGGAAGGCTGGGGTCACATCACAAGGGCCCCTCACTGACCGGCCCGGGCACAGCCAGCTCCTGGGGCAGCCCCAGCCCAGTTACCTTGCTCCAGGTTTTGCAGTAGCTGCTGATAATGGCGAGTACAGGTGCTATAGTCCCTTTCTACCTGCAGTCGGTCCTCAGGTCCAAAGCCGCCAGCATCCTGGCTATCCCGAAGGAAGGCCTGGTAATGCACATCCAGGTTGCGTAAGGCCTGGCGTTGTTCCTCTGGTTTCAGTGTGCGGAACTGGGTGAGAAAGGGGCAGTGAGAGTAAGAGGTGAGGGCAAAAAGTCAGGGGAAGGTAGGCATGAGGATGGGAGGAGACACTGAGGATGAAAATAGTAGGGAAATAAAGATGGGAAGGGATGGTGAAAGTGAGGGGAGCAGCAGGAGACACTGAGGGTCGGGGAGATAGTTTGGGGAGGAATACAAAAAGGAGGGGACACTGAAGGTAAGTGGTAGATGACAGGCAGGTAGACAGGAAAAAGGAGAGGGAAACAGGGAAAAGGTGGTAACGAAGACACTGGAACACCTGGGGTGGGGGCAAAGAGGCAGCAACTTTGGCACCAGAGGTCTGAGGACTCACCGTTACCAGGGACCAAGAGCGAATGAGCTGGATTTCTCGGGTTAGGCACTGCCAAGCCAAAAGACTCTTCATATCCACATGTAGCTGGTGCCAAAGGTTCACCAGGGTCTGGTGCAGTCCCTCCAGCCTGCCAGGGATAGGGTGGGGTGGAATGGAGGAGAATGGACAGGGAGTGAGGAGAAACTGGTATCTCTCCTTTCCTTTCTCAGTCCTCTCCCCTCTCTCTTCTTTATAGGTCTACCTCACTTGAATTTTTTTTTTTTGGCTAGGCAATGGGGTTAAGTGACTTGCCCAGGGTCACACAGCTAGTAATTGTTATGTGTCTGAGGCCGGATTTGAACTCAGGTCCTCCTGAATCCAGGGCCAGTGCTCTATCCACTGTGCCACTTAGCTGCCCCCTCACTTGAATTTCTTAATCCCTTGTCCTATTGTTCATCACATCTTGCCAGATCCCAACCCTGGAATGTCCCCAGGATCCACCTGCTTTGTGCCTATTTCATGTGCTGCTGAACAGAGTTGGAGGAAATCACAAAACCTCACTGACTGGGTCCATTACAGCTATCCCTTCTACATTGTGGGGGTCGGGAGCACAGCACTTCCGCAATCTGGAAAATCTATACAAAATTTTTAGCCCTCCCTTTGTACCAGAGAAGAAGTCTGAATTATTATGGTAATTAAAAGATAAAATGTTTATATTATACATATCTCTCTCTCTCTCTCCATATATGTGTGTGTGTATATAGATATAGATATAAATATAATATATATATATATATATATACATATACACACACACACACACACACATACACATTTTGTGCATTTGAGTTTTTAAACTTTTTGTGTCATCTACTGGCCTTTGTGTGTCATCTGAGGCTTCTACAAAACTCTCATTTAATTTCTCATGCTGACTTGCGATCTATCAGAACTGCAGTGGGGAAAATCACAACATGGAATCTATAGATTTACATTATCTAATCTCACCTGGGTCTTCAATGCAGCAAGGCAAATATTCTACTCCTCCTTAATCAAATCCCTATCCCCCTTTCCACAATGGCTGCTCTGAACTTTTTCATTTCTCCTGAAGCTTACAAAGGTCTTCATAACCTGGTGCCCTCCTCACCTTTCTAGTCTTCTTAGACTTACTTTCCTTCACATACTTTATGATCCAGTGACAGTGTCTCTGTTGTTCTTCATACGCGATAACTCCATTTCCTATCTCTACCCATTGGCATCAGCTGTCCCCCTTTCCCCTGCCTCTTAGCTTCTCTGGCTTCCTTTAAGACTCAGCTCGAAGCCTGCCTTCTGCAGGAGGCTTTTCCTGATCCCTTCATGTATTACTATCTTCCCTCTGATATCATGCACCATCTTCTTTCTCTCTGTCTCTCTCCATACATATACGACACATATTAAAAATAATACACTGGGGCAGCTACAGCCCGAAGTCAAATCTGGCCTCAGACCAAACACTTGACACACTTACTTGCTGTGTGACCCTGGGCAAGTCACTTAAACCCAACTGCCTAAAAAAAACACCTTATTTTCATGATCGTCTCTTTCATTAGACCGTGAGCTCCTGGAGGGCAGGGGCTGTGTTTTTGCCTGTGTTCCCAGAGCTTAGGACAGTTCCTGACACATAGTAAACTCCTAATAAATGCTTAAATGACCTCCCCATCCTTGTGGTGGATCCCAACCTGGGCTACCACACAGCCTTACCTGCTGACTGCATCCTGGGCCTCTTTATTGGGTGGGGGCACAAGGAAGCAGACAGAGGGCAGGACGGCTTCACTGCCACTGCTATGTACCACCTTCCATTTGGACGGCTGGGCATGACTCACCAGCTGACAGGTATCCCCTTTGTGGACGGTCATCTGCAGGGTACAGGCCAGAGGCCAAGAGAGAGGCAGAACAGGTGGCTAACTTAAATCACAGCTCAGCCCAAATGATCCCCTTACTGTTCTCCCTGCCCCCAGAACTCTGCCCCCTCCCACTTCCCACAGTCAGCCTTGGGACCCTCCCAATTTTTCTCTGCCCACAGTAACTCCTAGAGGCCCTCTGTTCCTCCCCATAATCTGCCCTGGGGCCCAGCTCACCTCCATCTGCTTGTAGTCACACACAGCTTGCAGAGGTAGCCGGCCCCGAATGGGGTAGGATGGATTACGGGGCTTTAATTGTACTATGGCCTTAGCCCTCTTGGCCAGGCCCAAAAGATGCCCCTTGTACTCAGAGAGCTGTTCCTTTTCATCCTGGGTAGGAGAAAGGGATAGAAATGAGAAGGGAGGAGATAGTTCTGAGGATAGCACCAGCACTTAGGGAACATGAGACCACATCCTTAAAACCTGTCTGGCCCTTAGTGATGACGAGCTGATAACAAGCACAGCACACTGTACTAGCCCTAAGGAAGGTGAAGACAGTCTATGCAGTAGAGCCTGATGCCACTGTGACCTTCCTGAGATTCCCTAGTCCCAGCCCATCCCCATTCTAAGGGGAGAGGTCTATATGGGCTACATATCAAGGAGACTTCAGGAGGATTCAGGTTGAATCAGCATTGTAGAAGCAGGACAGGGGTAAGGTGCGGTGGGGGGAGGGGAGGAATCCCCTTGTAGGCCTAGCTCACCCTCAGGAATGTAAACTCCTTGCAAAGAGGGACTGAGTCACTCTGTATCTGTATTACTCACTGTACTGTGGATTGGCCGGCTGGTTGATTAGGGAGGCAATGACCCTCCCCTTACTTTCATTGTGAACTACCTACCTGCCAGTACAAAGTAGGTTGGTTCTTTTAAAATCCCTATGACAAGATTCTGGAAAGTGACTCCCTGAGGGATAAGCCCCAGGAACCAGCCAGGTGAGGATGCGAGAGCCACTGGGACCCTGAGCTGAGAGCGTGGCTTCTGTTCCCTAGACAGACAAATGGCTTTGAGGGGCATCCCTCAAAGGGGAAGCAGAAATGGGGTGGAAAGTCTATGAGAGGGCCCAGGTCCCTGAAAGAGAAAGTCTTTCTCTTAGGGACAGGTGACAAAAGTCAAACATAAGGCAGAGATACAGTATAGCTTGGACCCAGAGTCAGAGGACCTGAGATTCCAGTTATTACCAACTACCTGTGTGACCACAGCAAGTGACTTAACTTTTCTGGGCCTCACTTTCCTCCTCTGTAAAATGAAGAGTACTATGAGAAATGAAGAATATGAGAAGAAGCTTGGGAAGACTTGTAAGAACTGATGCAGAGTGAAGTAAGCAGAACTAGGAGAAACATTTACATGATTACCAAGATGTCAATGGTAATATGAAGGAAAGTAACACTGAAAGACTTCACAGCTGTGACCTATGTGGGAACTAGCTGTGACTTCAGAGGAATAACAATGAAGGAAGTGTCCCGCGTCTTGGAAGAGAGGTGCTGGACGACAGAAGCAGAAGGAAGCCCACACGTGCAGATAAAGCCAATGAATCATTTTGTTTTACTTAAATTATTTGTTACAAGAGAGAATGGGGTGGGGAGGACTCTCAGGAGAATCACAGAGGAAAAACATCAATAAGAATAACAAAAAATAAAATAAAAATGTTTTTATCAAAAGAAAAATAAGATAAAATGAGAAGGATGGACTTGTGTTCAGTTGCTTCAGTCATGTTTGACTCTTTGTGACCCCATTTGGGGTTTTCTTGGCAAAGATACTAGAATGATTTGTCATTTCCTTCTCCAGCTCATTTTACAGATGAGAAAACTGAGGCAAATAGAACATAAATGACTTGCCCAAGGTCACACAGCTAATAAGTATCTGAGGCTGGATTTGAACCCAGGTCTTCCTAACTCCAGGTCCAGTGCCCTTTCCACTGTGCCACCTATCTACCTTAGGACAGACTACACAATTTCAAAGGTCCCGTCCAGCCTTAAATCTTATGATTTTGATGATGGCACTTGCCATCTAAATAAGGGTTTGGGATAATCAGTGAAAAAATGAGCTCCACCTAAGGCAAGGGTTTAACCTCAACATCTAAATGATGATTTCTACTTTAGGCAACTGAACAGGTCAAAAGGAAACAAGTCCGATGGGTAGAACTCATAGGGGCTGGAAGCAGAGAGACCTCCTGGGTGACAAGCGAGGGACCGAAGAGGGCTTTAACATCACTGGAGGATGGCCGCCTATCTGCAAACTGCTAGGGAAGTGCCCTGTCCACCCAGGAGTCAGGACACCTGCGGAGACTAAATGTCCAGCTTTGGGCTCAAGCAGACAGCTGCCCAGGGAGGAGCTTGGGATGGCAGTTCCAGGAAGGGCTAAGGCTATATAATGGAGCCAGCCAGAACTGACTTCAGGCTACAAGCCAGATGAGCTCAGTCTAGCATCTAAGTCTGGATAGTACCGAGGGAATGGAAAAAAGAAGCAGGACCGGGCATCTCAGAAGCTTTGGCCAGCAGAAGCTGTATAAGCTAGAATGAGGTCTCAGACCAGCAAACTCCATTTCTATGCTTTTACGTTTTATTTTTTTCCTCATTCTTTCTTTAAATAAAAATTTTGAAATTTCCCCAAATTGTCTTAGCTTATCCAATGTGGGAAAATACTTGTCTACATCTTAGTCAGTTAAGTGATAGAGATTTGATGGGGATCGATGTCTCAAGAGTGGTTATGGAAATGGCCCCAGGTGGAATAGTTAAACAGAGACAGATTCAGAGGTGAAAATAAAGGGCAGAAAAACTGAAGGTGAATATTAATTGATGATTCCTTCCTATTTGGGAAGAGGAGAAGCTGTTCTATGGATCATCAGGGCCAAGTGGCCCTCCAGTACCCCCAGTGGACTCCTGCTCACTCCCTTCCTGGTCTCCCACACTTGAACCAACCCAGTGGATGCTTCGGGTTTTCAGGGCTGGTCCAGTTGCTGCTGCTACTGTACTCAGTCTCTGGGGCATTCTGATCCCCTTTCTACCTTAACCAATGGGTGGGAAAACACTTCTCTCCCCTTGAATTTCAGATGAGATAAAGGACCATTCTTAGATAGGTATATAGCCCACTGCTGAGCTGAGGCCAGCAAAGAAAGCTAAGAGAAACAAATTTTGGGGAGAAGAGAAGAAAGGAAGAAGGGAGAGGATGGCTGCTGAGGGCGGATGGGATGATGACAAGTGGATGGAGAGAAGGGAATACTGCTCAATCTTTGTTTTGCTTCTGTTTCCTCTGCCAAGGAGAATGATCTTTGGACTGAAAAGGATGGAATGAAAATGGCTAATAAGAAGTTGATACCTAAGATAAGGAGGTAGATGGTAAGAGATCTCCTAGCTGACTTGGATACTTCAGATCACCAAACCCAGATGAACTACATTACAAGGACCTGAAAGACCTGGCGGATGTGATTATGACCCACTGTCAGCAACCTCTGAAACACTATAGAGAAGGTGAAAGATACCACAGGACTGGAAAAGGACAAATGTAACTGAGTTTCTAAAACAGGGAAAGGATCAACTCTGTAAATTCTAGGTCAATGAACTTGTCTTTCATTTCTGGGAAAATTCTAAGACACTTGAGAGAAGTGAACATCTAGAAAAGGAAGCTTAGAAGAGCAAGTCATGCTAAAATAAAGCCAAACAGGATTGGATTGTTATTTGTGCTGCTACAAGGAATACCACACTGATGCAATAATAATAGGAGAGACTGGAATATCAAAGCACCTTAAATTAGTAACAATAATACTAGTAAGCATTTATATAGGGTTTTAAGGTTTTATCCTTATCGTTTTATCCTTACAATAACTCTGTGAGGTCAGTGCTATTATTATCTGCATTTTAAAGATGAGAAAACTGAGGCTAAGAAAGATTAAATGATTTGCCCAGGGTCACATAGCTAAGTAAATATCTGACATAGGATTTGAGCTCAAGGCTTCCTGACTCCAAGTTCAGAGCCCACTCCAGAAGAGATAGATAGATAGATAGATAGATAGATAGATAGATAGATAGATGATAGACAGATAGATAGATAGATAGATAGATAGATAGATAGATAGATAGATAAAGGAAGGCTAAACTCTCAGCAACTGAAAAAGGAATAATGGCCCCAGAATACAGATAATTAAATATGCCTCCCTCCCTCCTCTCTGCAGAAGCATAGTGGGGGGAGGGGGGGGCACACGGGTAGACTACAAATAATAGTTATCATTTATATAGGGCTTTGAGGTTTGCAAAGTGCTTTCAGCAGATAATCTCATTTTCCTACTAATGCAGGATATTTTACATATTGTCAGATGTGGTCACTACCCTGGACATCTCTGCTGAATCGTTTGTTTTTTGTTCCAAACGAGGGTTTGAGGTGGAAAGGGATGGAGTGGGAGCTATTTCCAGAATGAAATGTGACATAAAAACAAAAGGCAATAATGACCTTTATTTAAAATAAAAGCAGGTCTTGCCAAACCAACCTCATTTCCTTTTCTGACAGGGTTATTAGACTGGTTGATTGACTGAATACAATAAGCACAATTTACCTCATTTTTGGCAAAGCATTTGATAAAGTCTCTTGTGTTTTTCTTATGGAAAAGATGGTGCCCGACATGGACTCCATGACAGTACATTTGGGTAGATAAGAACTGATCGAATGGTTAGAGGCAAGGGTAGCTACTAATTATCACTTGGAGGAAGGTCTCCAGTGGAGGGCCCCAGGAATTTCTGTTTTATCCTCTACTCTTTAACAACTGTACCAAAGTCTTGGATAAAAACACAAGATGACATGATGATCAATTGTGTAGATAATACCAGACTGGTAGGGATGACCAGCATACTCAATGAGAAGGTGAGGATTTTAAAATCTCCAGACGAGAACGTTGGTGATTAATAAGAGGCAACTGAGGAATGAATTTGTAAAAGACTTATACTTTGTTTCAAAAGAATCAACTTCACAAGTATAAGAGGAGGAAGGTAGGACTAGGAAGCAATTCATCTGAAAAAATCTAGGGATTTCAGGGTACTGCAAGCTTAACAGGAGTCAAAAGTATGATGAGGCAGCCAATGATGTTGATCCAGTTTCAGGCTATGGTAAGAGAGTGGTATCACTCTATCTGAGCCAACAGGGCTTTTACTGGCCTCTCATGGAAGGTCAAGGCCAACCTCCCATAGGGAATGGAGAAGGCAGGCTCCCCATGGCAGGCAGGCTCACCTGGGCATCTTGCAGCAGGTCCTCCAGACGAGTGACAGTGATGGAGCGGTCACAGGTATACTTCCTTCTCATTGTCTCCTGAAGCTTCTGCAGCTGCTCCTCAGCCTCCCGAACGTCAGAGAAAAACTAGAGCCAGAAAGAGAGGTCTCAGGCCCAGCAGACTCTTACTCAGGCAATGTCTTCCCATTTTTTTCCTGATTTTTTCCATCCCTAGCACCTAGGACAGTGCCATTCTTGCACAGAATAGTTACCCAATAAATATCTGGGCAGTGGAAAGAGTATTGGATTTGGAGTCAGGAGGAGCTAGGTTCAAATCTTGACTCAAATCTATGGCTCTCAAAGTCTACCTATGTGACTCTGGTCTCAGTTTCTTCTTCTGTAAAACGGAGGAAGTGACCTCTAAGGTCCCATCCAACTCTAAATTATGACCATCATGAGCTATCACCAGGCCCAGCTTGCCAAGGCTACTTATAGCTATGGCCCCTTCAGAGCAAGGAGAGGAAATGTGGCCAAGTGGACAGACTGTTGAACTTGGGACCTGGGAGTCAGGAAAACTTGAATTTAAATCCCATCTCAGACACTTACTAGCAAAATGAACCTCAGTTTCCTCATTTGCAGAAGGAGGGGGTTGGACTAGATGGTGTCTTCCAGCTCTAAATCTACTATCCCTTAAAGGAGCGAGACTCTGAGATCTCCCAACTGTAGGCAGCTAGCCCTGTGCTCAGAGGGATAAGTGAAGCCTGGTTTAGGGACAGAAGGGGGACTGACAGGTACCTGGAAATAGGCTGTATTTTCCTTCAGATGTGCCTCAAGGCAGCAGCACAATTGTAGCATCCAACTCCACTGGGTCTGCAGGGCAGCCTGGAACGCCTACAACAGCAGCCCACGGTCACAAGGTGCACACATGGCCGGCCCTTGCAATCCTTCCCCCACCTCCTCATCCCGCTGGGCCCCTTTGGTGGGCAGAGCAGAAGGGGAGGTGGGGCAGGCGCCTCACCTTCCCCCCTCCACCTGTTTCATTTTTGTCTCTGTGTCCCCAGTGCATGGCACAGTGACAGGCACAGAGCAGATGCTTAATAAATGCTCGCTGATGGATCGATAGGTCTCTCCCACTTGGTGCACTCCACCTGGAGCCAAGAGCAGAGGCACTTACCTGCTTCTACCAAGGTCTCCTTCCCTTTGACCCCCTCCCCCCCCGCTCTCGCCAGTTCTGCCTGCTGCCCTCCCTTTGTCCCCACCGCCTTGCTGCCTACCTCCACAGTGGCCTTCCCTGGGTGATCTTCCCGAAGGAGGCGCTCTGCCGTATTCTGGATCTCCTTGACTTTCTTTTCCTTCAGCTCTAGCTCCCGCATCAAGCCCTGGAGGGTTGGAATAGGTGGCCTCAGAGAGCTGCTCTGATGGAGAAACTTGGCCAGCCTGCCTCCCCCTCCCCACCTTCCCTGTGCTGACTCAGAAGAAGCCAAGACCCAGGGGCGGAGGTAGAACTGCAAGGATTCTGGGGGGCCAGTCCTACTCCCTACCGAATAGCTGTCCTTCTTGGACGCCATGTTACTGTTGCGTTCACTCCAGTCATAGTTGACTTCTTCTTCTTCCTTCTCATTCAGCCACATCAGCTCTTTGGTGGCCGCTGCCACAAAGCCATGTAGGCTCTCCAGACCCCGCAGCCGGGCCTTAGAGGTGTTCTACAGACCCAAGCAGGAAAGGTGGAGAGCAGAGGTCAGAGGGGAAGTCCCCCTTTAGCTCAACCACTGTCCCCACCATGGCCTCATTTTTCTCACCAGCAGCTTGGCATACTGTAGGTCCAATTTGCCCAGGCAGTCCCTGTAGGCCCCTCTGGTGGCTGGAGAGAGCTGGCTCTGTGGGGAGGGAAGAGAGAATGAAGCTTCCTCTGCCCTGTACATCCTAGAAAACAGGCCTAAGGTGGTGGTGGTTGGGGAGGGGGGGCAGGGTATCAGTCCAATGTGTATGCTTGGCTTCAGCTCACCTCATCTGCCCGTGCCCGCTCAATCTTGGCCCGGAATTCCTCGATGGACTGGTGCAGCCCCCGGTGGCTGCCCAGCTGTGACTCCACACTGGGGAGGTCCACACCCCACTCTGCCCCATCCAGCCGCCGCTGGTTCTCCTCCACCCAGGCCAGCAGGTCTTGCAGGTAGCGTAGAGTGACATCCTCCAGCTCAGACCGCCTCTGGGAGGTCACTGGGCTCACCTGAGTCACGGGCACACCAGCCTTGAGCCGCAGGTTGTATTCCGTGCGGATGGCCACGAGCCGCTCATGCAGGCGGTATACCCTAGGAGAGAGATGAGGAGGCCGTCAGCTTTGGCCAGAGGGAGAACTGCAAGAATCCTGGGTGGTATCCCAGAGGAAGTCTGTAGCAAGGGTGGAAAGGAAGAGGGAAAGTTGTTTCTCTTATAATAGCCAACTCCCCACCAGCTGTACTATCTAGTACAGACCTGCACAACTTGGGAGGTAGGGGCCAAAATTAAAATAGGCTAAACTTCTTTGGATCACAGATAGGTTTTTAGCAGCTCACTTTTTAGTGGCTCACTTTCCAAGTAAAGGTATAATTAGTGATTAAACTATTTTGCAAATAAACCACATTTTTAAAAAAAAGGAAATTTCAATTAATATCAATTAATTACACTTCATACTTAAGATTTCTATTTATCATGAAATTGCTCCTCTCAGACTAGAGACAGACTGGCTGTGGTTGGTTGCCACAGGTCATGTGACAAACAGGAGCAAGTACACAGTGGCAATCCACCCGCCAAGTTACATGACGGGCACAATAGTGACTAGTGGAAGGCAGGTTAAGCGGGGCATGGACAAAGCACTTGTTACATCTTTACTTTCTTTTACACCTTCAAATATTTTCATAGGCCACCTGAAATCCCTCAGGCCACAAGCATCCCTGAGCCACATGCTGTGTGGGCCTGAGGTAGTAGAAGGTAAGCTCCTTAACCGCAGGCACTCTCTTGTTTCTGTATCATCAGGAATACAGACTAGCACTAGGAGGTACTTTAGAAATGTTTGTCGAACCTAATGAAATTATGCTTGTATGCAAATTCATGCACGTCTAATGATCTGGAATCAACTCCAAACTAAGGCCTGACGTCCTCTGAGATGTAACCTTGGGAGAAGGAAGGAAAGACTTCCCAGTTTCTCCAGCCTGACCTAGCCCTCAGCTCCCCACACACAGAGACGTCTGGGCCGTGAGCCCAGAGTAAAGCACCAGGCTCAGCCAGAGGAGAGCCAGAGAGACAACCAAGCGGTGCAGTAGACAGAGCCTTGGACTTGGGAGTCAGGAGGACTTGAATTCAAATCGGACCTCAGATGAAGCTGCGTGACCCTGTACAAGTCATTCTGCCTGACTCAGTTCTCCTACCTACAAAATGCGGCTCATGATAGCACCCACCTCTCAGGTTTGTCATGAAGATGAAATTAGATGAGATTTGTTATAGCAACACAGCTCATGGCACTTAGTTGGTGTTTAATAAACGCTTGTTAAAACTAACAAAAAACAATATCAGAGCAGAGCCTCTGGCTTGAGGAATTTGGTTTAAGGGCTCTCCCCTGCCCCCCACAGAGTAAATGGAGGGTCTTGTGTATTGATGAAGCCAGTCACAAGGAAGAACAGAAGGCAGCAGGACCCGTGGTTAGTCAGGGAAGGCAGAAAGCAAGGGAGCCACGAGGGACGTGATCCAGCCAAGATAGCAGCGCTGCCCGTGACTGTCCTTGGCACCCTACCAAGACACATTCTCATCTGTTACAGAAGGGCAGCTGCTCCTTACAGCAGCCCTGTGAGACGGCTAAGCAGGCAGGGACTGTTCCCCTACGCAGATGGAAACTGAAAGCCCTAGGAGGCCAGGGGCCCTGTCCTATCTAAATTACCTATCTCCTCCAGCACTACGCCCAATACAGAGGACCTGGGTTCAAATCCTGCCTCTGATATTAACTACTTGTGTGACCTCGGGCAATTATCACTTAACCTCAGCACCCTCAGCCCTAAGTAAATGGCTTCCCGGGCCCTTTCCAGTTCTAAATCTATGATTCTATGATCCTTTCCCCTCTGTGAGCCTCAGTTTCCTCATCTGTAAAAAGAGGACGTTGGACTAGAAGGTGTCTGAGGCCTCTTCCAGTTCTACATTCATGAGTTAGATTACTCAGTACACAATGGGTGTTTAAAAAATGTTTGCTGAATGAATGAATGAATGAATGAATAATGAGATAGTACTAGTGGCAGACCCCAGCCCAGGATTTGGGTCTCCCTCTCCTCCCTAACCTTTCTCAACAGCACTTTGTATTTTGCACTGCAGCTCTTGGTTGAAGGTAGAAGCACAGACCATCAGTTCCATGTTAAAGCCAAGGAAACTGAGGCCCAGCGGGTTTAAGTGTCTTTCACCAGGGCACAAAGTCCATGAGAATGGCAGAGCCAGGTCTATAGACTGGCCATCCTAACCTTTAGGCCAGTATAGCAGCTGCCTCCAGCCCACTGGGAAGCAGGCCCTTCAAGGGGCTCCAGATGTCCCCTTACGCCTGTTACCTTCGGTACATCTGTTCGCCCTGTGGGTGCCGCCCATCTTTGAGGGTCTGCACATCATTGAAGAGCAGTCGGATCATGCTATCGGCCTTGTCCAGGTCCCTCTCCACTTCGCCAGCATGCTGAGGGGCTTTGCCTGAGGTTAGCAGCCGGATGTCCTGCAATGGCACAATGGTCTCCTAAGAGTAAGAGTGTGCGTGAAGACATGGCTGCTCAGCCACCCCCACCTCCTGGGAGGTCCCAGGGTCACAGCTCTCCCAAAACCTCAACACACTACTTGGCTATGTAAGCCTTTAAACTAGGTCTTAAACGCTGCATTTTCCCTAGCCTAGGGCAGAGTTCAACACCCAACAGGCCCTAGATGTTTGTTGAGAGAAATCCATAGAGCTCCACACTTCTGGCAGCTCTGGCTTTTTAGCCAGGCAGGATCCACCCATGAGCCAAAGCAGCCTCAGGCTTGGATGAGAAAAGAAATCCCTGGTCCAGCCACACCCAACTCTCACCAGGCGCCTCCCTCTCCAGATGACCCAGCCCCTAGGCCAGTCTGCTCCTCCCCCAGTGCCTGCTGCCCCACCCTTCTGCACCAGGCCTCACCAATTGCAGCAGGGCATCAGCCTGATTCAGCTGCTCCTCGCACAGGCCGGATTCCATCTGTAGTTTGCTCACAATTCTCTGGAGACACTCCTGCCTGCAGGACACACCCATCCCAAACCAGAGAGCTTCACTTCAGAGGCCTTGGATGGCAAGCTAAGGCACCTCAGGCTCTTTCTGTCCATCCTGGGAGTCCACCAGCAGAAAGCACAAGATGGCCCAGGGCTAGGGCCAACCCCTCCAACCTTCCCTGAAGTGGTTTTCTGTCTCCTTTCAAGGTTCCACTGCCCAAACTCTGAGTAGAGCATAAGAATTTTAGTGGCAAACCGTTTCCTCTCTCGGGTGATGAGTCACCAGTGTGTGGTTCCTATTAGCCCCACCACAGGCACCTCCCTCCAGCCTCCTGCTCCCCACCTCCCTGGCTTTCCTGGGGACCCCCTCCTCCTGCCCCATGGAAAATCTATGGTGTCAGACCTCCCTTCCGCCATACTGTCCACACTCACCTTTCAAACTCCGTTCTCAGCTGCTTCTCCCGCTCCAGGATGGCCACATGCAGCTTTCCCCATTCCTTCTCTACATCCAGAGGGTGAAAGCCTGGTGGTACCTTCAGCTGCCCAGCCTGCACAGCCCCCTGCATGAGTACAGGGAATAGGGAACAGGTTCAGGAGTGCTCAGCACTTGCCAGGTGGACAATGCTCTGCCTGTCCAACAAGGTGGGGCCCCCACAGGGTATGTTTCAGGAAGGTGGCAGGTAGGTGGGGCAAGGAGAAGGGTAAGTGTACGTGTGCGAGCTACCTGTGTGCAAACAAATAACTTGGAAGAGGATGGGCTGGTGTTCACACTCCTTGCCTCATTCCAGCTGGTCTGAGGCTTGCCTTGCTCCAGGACTATGTCTTCTGGCTCAAACTCAGGTCCATGGAGATAATATATGAAAAGTACTTAGATCCGACCAAGCATGAGATACATGTGAATGATGATTATGAGTTGTAACGGTTATAATAATAATTTAAGAGTGATCACACACCAAGGACAGTCGTCACTAAACCTCTCTTTGGCCCCAAAGTTGCCTTGTATCTTTCTATATTTAAAATAATAAAAATGTTGCAGCTCACACTCATATAATGCTTTAAGGTTTATACAACACTTTCCCCTGAAATCCAAGATCTATTACTAGATTAGCTGCAGACCAATGACCCTGTAAGCCACAGCAACTCAAAGACTATCTTTGAAGTAACAAAGGACTTGCAATTTGCATCAGTGAACTAACCCATCTTGTTATTTTTCCCGTAGGTGCTTATGTATCTTCTCCCACCCCCAGGAGAACATAAGTTCCTTGAGAGCAGGAAAGTTTTCTTTCTTTGTATCTATCTCCCGAAGCTTAATAGTAGATGTTTAATAAAGGCCTGGTGATTAACTATCAAAATGACAGATCCTTAAATCCTGCCTCAGAGTTCTCCACAACAATCTTTGAAGGAAGACTGTGCTACATATTACTGTCACCATTTGAGAGGTAGCCTAACCAAGTGGGTAGAGCACTAAGCTTGAAGACAGAAAGATCAGGGTTCAAATCCTGACTCTGATACAGTAGCTATGTGACTCTTGACAACATCTTGAACAGATGTATAGGACTATAAAGTTTGCAAAGTGCTTTATATAATTTATCTCATTTAATCCTCACAATAACTGGGGTGGGGGAGGTGCTGTTATCTCCATTTTACAGATGAGGAAACTGAGAGGTTAAATGACTTGCCCAGGGTCAAAAAACTAGTGAGCATTTGAGATGAGATTTGAACTCACATCTTCCTGACTACAAATACGATGCTCTATCCACTACAGCAAGCTGCCTCTCAGGTCAGTTAATTTCTATGTTAGGGATATGGAAGAGGACAGGGAAATATACATATTCTATAGGTGCCTCCAGCTGGTCTGGGGTTTCCACTCCTCCAATACTGCATCCTCTGGCTCAAAGAACATAACGTATAAAAGTCCGGGTATATAAGCAAGGAGATGCAGCAACACCTCCTCAGAGGCCCCAAAGTTATCTCATTCCTTTCTGTGTTTATTAGCTCATATTTATAAAATGCCCTTCCCTGAAATCAGACTCATCACTAGAATTCCCCAGGACTTAGTAAGTCATAGGCAGAAGGAGTTCCCACCCCTAGGAGTCCCCTTCACTGACACCACAGACCCTTGAGTATTTCAGCAGAGCAGAGGAGCAGATGCTTAAAGAGCAGTTACTGAGCAAGGTAGGGATCCCAGATTCCATCCCAGGTCCCTTGAATCCAAGCCCAGCATTTTTTTGACTAGGTCAAGTTGCTTCTAAAGACCCTGAGCCCAAGTTTACATTTATAGAACCCCACCCCACCCCAATTCTGAGCTGATGGCTTCCATATCAGGGGTCCAGAGGTATCAACATGGGGCCTACCCCCAAACCATGGTCCCCCAGGACAATCACAGGGCAGCCCTGGATGTGCATGTCCCTGGGCACTGTCTCACTCCTCCTTTGGAAGATAGCAATAAAAGATGAGGCTAAGCTTAAGGTATTAAGGAGCGAGGCTAGGGAAGGGGGTGCCAACACAGAAGGAAAAGAAGACCAAAAATTGGCCAGGCGAGGATGCAGGGCCCAGCAAGCAGAGGAGCCGCTGGGTTCCTTGGGCCCCTCTGAGGAAAGGCAGCCTCTCACCTCCAGTGACTGGTAAATGCTCTTGGATCGGTTCTTGTCGGCCTCCTTGGCGGGAAGCTCGGTCTCCTTAAATTTGAGGAACTGACACCAGAGGATCTGTAAAGAGATGTGGACATGAGGAGGCTCCCCAACGTCCAGCCACCTGAGAAAGGGCGTGTAGCTCTCAAAGTAGGGGCTGCCTAAGGGATCTCTAAGGTTCCTTCCCAGCTCTGAGCCTGTAATCCTGCGGTCAATTAAGCTGATACTCTGAGCCCTTCCAATGGGGCAGGCCTATATGCTGTCACTAGAGAGCATTGGTCAGGGTCGGGGCTGGGCCCGGGCCCAGGGCAGGGTCTTGGAAGGGTACCCCAGGGTGAATGATATTGCTGGGAGAACAGCCTCGCAGTAAGCACTAGGCTCAGGGGATGTGGATTCCCTCTCAGGAGACAATATCACCCCCACTTCCCAAGGCAGCCCACTCCACTATTAGGAACTTCTTCCTTACTCGAAGACTAACTCTGTCTCTTTGCCACTTTCATCCACTACTCTCAAATCTGCCCTCTAGAGTCATGCCAAGCAAGTCTATTCTCTCTTCCATGTGACAGCCCTTCACACACTCAAAGATGGCTGCCACGTTCTTTCTAAATCTCCTCTTCTCCAGTCTACACTTCCTCCAAATAATCTGTACGTGGCATGATCTCATGGCCCTTCACCAACCTGGCTGCCAGGGAATGAAGGAGGAGGAGCTGGGAATGGTTTTAAGTGTTTGTCCAATGGACCTGAGAGGCCGGGTACTCAACAGAAACCCAAACACCAGAGTCCAATGTCGGAACCTTGAGGGAGGCTACAGAGCCTGAAAAGTCCCAAGAGGAAACAGGAGGCCAGGGATGGACCTGCCCTGATCCCACTTCCTAAATTAGAACTCAGCACCCGTGGAAGTGGGAGAGGCGGTCTTAACAGTAGCAGTAGCAACAGACTCACCCTTCACCAGCGCCCATCAAGATAACTCTCTAGTTAGTGTACACACAGCACTTGCGATGTGCCAGTCACTGTGCTAAAAACTTTTAAATTATTATTTCATTTGATCCTCATGATAATTCTGTGAGGTAGATGCTATTATCATCCCCATTTTACAGATGAGGAAACTGAAGTAAACAGAGTGAAGTGACTTCCCCAGGGTCACACTATCTGAACCCCGATTTGAATTTGGGGCTTCCCAACTCCAGGACCAGCGGCCTGTCCACCGTGTCCCTCTGGTGGGGCTGGGCAAAGGCAGGGTAGAGCAAAGTACCATGGTAGGTTCTTGGCCCTAACACTAACCACTCTCTACCCTGCAAAAACCTGTTCCTTTTTCTTCCTGGACCCTATACTTCCTTCCTTCATGTACCTGTTTGTTTTTCCTATTTCAATGTTTCCTTGGTCTCTTCTACCCCAGCACAGCCTGGCCTGGAGAGGAGGCAGAAGCAGCAGCAGGCCTAGGCCTGTCAGAGAGCGGATACCTCTGGAAGAAGCCTGAAGGGCAGGCTCCCGGGAGGAGCCCTGGGACACAGGGGAAGCTGCCCACCTCTGTCTCCTCGTAGCTGGTGGCAAACTTGCGCTCCTCAAAGGCAATGATATGCTGACGGATCCACTGTAGCAGCAACATGACCAGCTCCCGGTACTCCTGCCAGCGAAGCTGCAGCTCCTGTCCCAGGAGGCAGATCTTACAGACAGAAAGGCCTGGCCCAGGTGTCCACAGGGAGGAGGGCGAGACCCCGGAACCTTGCCCCCCACTCGGGTTAGCTCCCTCCCTACCCTCATCACTTACATTGGCCTTCACACCATCTTGCACATCAGGTACCCGGGGCATGGCATCATACAGGGACGACACGTAGGTGATGATGGACTTTTCATCTGGCTGAGGGACGTCCACATCTGCCAGGGAAGAGATGAGGTTGGGAACTTAAAGGGGTGTAGGCCCACCTCAGGAAAGAATAGGGAGCAAGCAGACCTGGGGCAGCCCACCTTAAAGGGACCACGTACCCTCAGGGTCCAGCAGCCGGGTGACCCCCAGCTCTCGCTCAGCCACATTGAACGCCTGGTCCAGATTCTCCAGGTTGCTCTGCTGGTAGACTTTGTTCATGTCGATGAGCATGGGCCTGTAGGAGGAAAGGAGGGATGGGACTGGGTTCAGAGGCCACAACACACAGGGAGCCTCAGTCCCCTCACTGGGGTGGCTAGGTGGTCTGGGGTCCCTTAGGGAGTCCCCACTCTAAGACTGCCTGGACTCTCACTCCCTACCCAAGCAAATGAAGGAGAGAAGAGGTGGTGGGGGAAGGAACAGAAGAAGTGGGAGACAGGGAGGAAATGAGAGAAGAGGGGGAGGGGAGGAGGTGGGAGAAGAGGAAGACGAAAAGAAAGGAAGGAAATAATGGCACCGAAAGGGAAGAGGGGGAGGGATAAAGGGCAGAAGAAAAGGAGCTGGGAAGGGGCCCAAGGAGGGGGAGGAGAAAGGGTAGGGGGGAGAGAAGCCCAGGGTGCCTACAGCTCTCGGCAGTGCAGAGTGGAATGTACAGAATACACTTCACCACTCAGGTAACTCTCTCCTCCATCCTGGAGGCCACTGAGCGGCAGCCGGTCCTGGGTTCCAGACGGGCGGCCATCCTCACACAACATCAGCACCCGTTCTTCCCTGCCACCGGCGGGCCGGGGCCCCTTCCTCCAGGCCCCCTTCTTCTGCTTCCCCTTCACCAGAGCACTCATGTCCCCTCTCTGCCTATGGGTGTCTCTCGTCCCCTGCCCCTCTCCCAGGACAGCAGCTCTGGTCCCCGTGCCCGAGCAGTCCCAAGGCACCACTTGACTAGTTGACTAGCCTCACTCTGGCTCTGGGAGCGGGGCAGCTGGTTAGCTCCTCCTGCTTGGCTCAAGTTTAAGGCAGGGGTTGGAAAGAGGCAGAGAGAAGCCTGCCCAAACCCTGCACAGACTCGCGCTCCCTTCCCTGGTCCCTCCCTCCCATCCAAGAGAAGCCATACAGCAGTCATAGCCCGCAGCAGCCTGCTCCCACCCTACCCCACCCCACCCATCCCACCACCAGCCTGGCAGCAGGTAGGATCTGTCCCTCCCCTCAGGGGTTCCTCCACTGCAGGGCCGGGCCTGGTCCAGCCTGCCCAGTCAGGGACAGGCAGCATAAGACGCCACAACCTGTCTACAGTTTTGTTGACTCTGCAATAAAGGAGTCTCAGGTAGCCCACCCAGCCACGCACCGCACGTGAGAAGCAATAAGAGCGGCAGCCACATGTCTCCACCCCCTCCCTATAGTGTGGTCTGTGTCTGTTCTAGCAAGGGAGCGAGGCCTATCATCTGAGGAGCCTGAGCTAGAAAACTGGGGAGACCCCCTTCCTGACTCACCAGGTTCTTATAACAACAATAGCTAGGCATTTTTATAGCACTTTAAGGTTTGCAAAGAAACTCACACTTGTTATCTCATTTAATCCTTTACCTCCATTTTACAGAAGAGGAAACTGGGGCACAAAAAGATTGACTTGTCCAGAGTCACACAACTATTAAGTGTCTCAGGCAGGATTTGAACTCATGTCTTGTTGATTCCAACACTCAGTCCTCCGAATACAGGGAGACAATAGGTAGGCTGTTAAGATGTACAGATGGATTGGGGTACAGGGTATGGGGTCAGCCACTCCCCTGATCCCTCTCCTGGTCAGGTTTTAAGGAGAGAATCAACCCCATGGGTACCTCTGAGGGCCCTGGCAATTCCAAACCTTATTTATGGAGCAGAGCCAAGGCTGGGGGTGTATCTTGGTAGGAAATGAAGGGGCCTGCCCTATGTCATGGAAATCCAGAGCCCTCCAAAGCAGGGGACATGTGCTGAGACTCCCTAGGGAATGGTAATTAGCAGGGCGGGCCAGGTATGGGTAGCCACCAGGCTAGGTGTCCCAACACGCTCCCTCCAAAGGGAATGCTGAGCCTGGGGCCAAGGCTGGGGCCAGACGCCAACATATATGACAAGGCAGAGGGGATAAAAAAGAGAAGAAAAGGAAGGAGGGACCCATGGGAGGAGACAGATAGTGTGGTGTAGGAAAAAGGGCACTGGTTTTAGAGTCAAGGTTCTGAGTTCAGAATGGGCCTCTGTCACTTAACCAGCTGGGTGACCTTAGGCGACTTAACCAACCTCAGTATCCTCCATTAGATGAGAGGGGAGAGGTTGGACTGGGGGGGGGGGGTGCTTTAAGGCCCAAGCTCTACCTCTATGATCCCGAGGAAACGTGAGACTCAAGAACTGGGCTGCTACAGGTCTCCAGAAGGCCAGGGCCTCCCCACAGTTTGACCAGGAGCAGCCTCCAGGCCAAAAGCCAGTGCCTGGGCCCTTAAGGGTAACAGTACAATGATAAGAGTAATTGTCAGGGCAGGCACTTAGCACAGTACTTGGCCCATAGGAAGAGCTTCATAAATGTTTATTGATCAATTATTGATCAAGAGCCAAGGAAAAAACCAACTTTCCTCTCTCCCACCTCCGCACCCCTGGAAAAGGCTGCCCTGCTGCTTGCAGGCTGGTCACAAAACTGTAGAAACAGGTTTTAGATCTGGAAGGGGTCTCTGAGGTCATCCCCTCATTTTACGAATGAGGAATCTGAGTCTCAGAGAGATTAAGTAGCTTCTCCTAAGTATCTGAGGCAGGAATCAAACCCAGATCTTCTTGACTCTTAGAGCACCAGGCCCAGAGTCAGGAAGAGCCGACTTCAAATCTGGCCTCGGACACTTACTAGCTGTGTGAGCCTGGGCTAGTCATTTAATTCGTGTTTGCCTCACTTTCCTCATCCGTCAAATGGGGATCATAATAACACCTACCTCCCAGATGAGGGTCAAATGAGGTAACAATTTTAAAACTGCTATTAAATGTCAGCTATTATTACTATTCTGAGTGGCTCCAATGCCTTTAACCTAGCATTCAAGGCCCTCTGAATTCTGAATTCTGAATCAATCTCTCCAACCTCATGTGTTTTCTGCTCCAGCCATGCTGAGTAACTCTCCCAAGGCCCCTCAGTGTCTGTTATCTAGGCATCATTTAACTTTCTGCAGGAGTGTGTCCTGTCTGTCCCTCTAGATTGTGAGTCCTTCGGAACCAAGGGCTGGGTCTCACACCTCCATGTAGTCTTCCATGCAGCTCCAGCACCTGGTACATGGTCCTCCCCTATTGGGGACCCTAGGAGGACTCAAGAGGTGGGTGAGATTGCCCAGGGTCTGCCCTGCCCTTACTTGTGCCGGTGAATGATGGCATTGAAGAGGCGCCCATCCCGCCAGCTAGCAGTGAAGTTGTCACAGTGCAGGCCCTGGTAGCCTTCCACCATCCGCTGGGACCACAGCAGCAGCTTCTCCTTGGCAGTCATATCTTCGGACTGGCCGCTCACCTGGATGTCTGAGATCTGAAAGGAGGGAGCGTGAAGGAGAGGTGTGAGGCCCTGGTAAGAAGCTGCTGGGCCCAGCCCTAAGGCGGTCCCCAGTAGGAAGCAAATGAGGGGTGAGCATACCTCAGCCCAGAAGAGAGAAGACAGACCTTCCCCTAACCCAGGCCCATTTAGGGCACAGGAACAGAAAGTCACCCAACACAAACTCCTCATGTTGGACTGAGCATAGCTCTTCCTCTCAGCGCAAACTTTAGCAGCCCTGGCCATCCTATCTATCCCTGCCCTCCCCTCCCCTCCCCACAGGGTCAAGACCAAGGGTCAGCTACTGAAATTCAAGCCTTAAAAGTGAGCTGGGCAGCCCTGAGCAGAGCCACACCCTATAGCAGGACCTCTAAGCCACAGGCTACCCCCTCCTCCTTCCCAAACATGAGGAGACAAGAGGCTGGGCACTGGACTGGCAGGCCACGATGGCACTGCCTATTCATGAGTGACTCTAAGCTCATAAAGAAGAGAGGTGGCAAAGGGCATCATCTTAGGGTTAGACAGCTCTTCCAAGCCTGCTGAGGCAGAGGAAGGGGCCAGAAAAGGGCAGTGCCTTTAGGGAATGGAGAGCCTCCCTGGGTGGGCACTAAGAGCACTCCCTCTCTCCCTGAACCCTGTCCAGGCAACTCTGTCCATATGTATCTATCTCTTACTCTAAAATCTGCCTGCTCATCGCTCCATCTGGCTAGTGACCTCCCTTTTGGAATGTCCGTCTATAAATGTGTGCACGCATGTCTGGGAACTCAGCTCTAGTGCCTATGCCATAATGGCCACAATAGTGTAGCTATTCCTCGTGGGTGCCCGGGGGCCCCTTTCTTCTGTCTGTCTGTCTGTCTCTCGTTGACTCAGGCCACTGTGCCAACCAGACTCCACCCCATACAGGAATCAGATGCGTTTCCTGTGCTTTTGGTAGTGGTTGGCACCAGATAGCAATGAGTCAGCCCAACCTCTGAGCCTTCACTTCTCCAAAGCATTTCCCCTCCGGGGGTGGCAGCTGTTTTCCCTCTCTGAGCACATTCCTGGATGGATAGGCACAGCCATTCATAGGAAAGGCCAGAGGGTACTGCCCAAGAACATGGATGTTGAGGGAGGAAGGCTCCCACCCCAGCCCCTGGAGCACAGAGACACAAGGTACTCTGAATACCCTGAGAACAGTCACACTTAAGACAGTGAGACCTCCACAAAGCTTAGCTCTTCCTGGCTCCACTCCCCACTGGGATGGGCTAGTCTCCAAATTCCAGGGCAGAATCATGTGTTGTTCCCATTCCCTGCAGCCTTAGTCGACTCCATGCCTAGACAGATGGAAGGCTCTCTGAGACCAGGGACCACTGTACTTCTGTCTCTATATCCCCAGAACCTAGTTCAGTGCCTAGCACAAGGTAGGCGCTTAAAAAATACTTGTGTTGCCTGACACTCCAGGGAGGAGGGCACCTCCTATGCTCTTTGCCTCATACAGTCTAGCATTTCCCAGTTGTTCCGTGTGGGTCTAGTATCTCTCCGACTAGAATGTAAGCCCCTTGAAGGCAGGAGCAGTGTGATTCTTCTTTATGTTCACCACAGCACAAAGCACATAGTCCATGCTCAAGAAAGACTTACTAATTCTTGAACTGCTTAACAGGAAGCCTCCTTCATTCCCTCGGAGCCATCATCCCCTGCTATATTCCCCCTACTACACATAAGAAAGCCCCTAGGGCTGTGTATATTTCTAGGCATCACTTGACATGGTCTGTCATTTTCTAATAGTCCTCTAGATCTTTCTTCTTGATGTCTAGCTTCCAGTGTCCCCAATGCCTTCAATTCCAAAGAGAGCCTCCTTTCACACACCAGAACCCTAGAGCTAAAAGGGATCTCAGAGGGCCATCTAGTTCTCAACTCCCTTATTTCACAGATGAAGAAACTGAAGTCAAGGAATGATTTGCCAAGGTTAAACAGCTAGAGATGGGGTTTGAATTCACATATTCTGACTCCAAAGTCAGGGTTCTTTTCCACTATATCACACTGCTTGCCTCTCCAAGGCAGGTTTTGTAAGGCTAGCTACACTATCAGGTTTTCTAGCTCCCTTTAGTATGACAAGAGTTCAAGGCCTTCTCCCCTCCCCCAAGACCCCACATCCTCCTGCTCCCTCAGCTGCCCAGGCAGCTTCATCCTTGTACATCAGCAAAAGCAGGGTTCAGAGAAGGCAGCATCCTGACCTGGAAATGTAAGATGATGGTCCATATCAAACCCAGGGTGAGCTTGGGGTTGCCATCAGCAATATCATCATTCCTGATGTTCACCAGTTTCACCTGCAACCAAATTTCCAGATGTGTCACTTACAATCCCAGACCCAGCTCTGGACCCTGACCAAGCCAAGTATTCAGAGGGGCTAGGCACCTGTGGATTCTCAGGCCAGAAAGTCTACTGGTCAGGGTGAGGCCCCTGAATGATCAGGGAACAGAGGCTAGGAGTTGGATTCCAGGAATACTTAGAAAGAAAAGGCCTTTTGGTCTGAGTTAGACCCCATGGATGATCAGGATCACACTTCAGAGTGTGGCTTCATCTACAACTACATTTCCATACTCCTCAGGAGTCCTAGGATCCCAGAACTGGGCATGAGGCTCCTAACCAGGAAATGCCAAGTATTAAAAGGAGCCAAGGCCCTGGAGATGTTCAGAACAGAGGGATTCTAGGTCTAGCCCCAAAATACTCAGGGCAGATAGTGTGTCTCACCTGTCGATGTCTGAGGTAGTCCAGGGCAATTTGGACATTCTGCAGCTTATGGAAGCGCATTCTCCCTTTCTCCCGTGGCTAAGGGGAAAGAAAGAAGAAAAGCAAGCTAGATCAAAATTTCTCCTGTGGGTGGTAAGGGACCAGGACCTCTTTGGCCCTAAGATCTCTTGCAGTTTCTTTTCCTTTTTTTCTACACATACACACACACACACACACACACACACACACACACACACACACACACACACTCTCTCTCTCTCTCTCTCTCTCTCTCTCTCTCTCTCTCTCTCTCTCTCTTCCAAAGGTTCCTCCACTCCCATCCCCTGGGGATGCTCAGAACAGGCAGCTCACACACTGACCCTTCCCCTACCCCACTCCCACTCCCACCTCTTAGCTTCTACATGCAGCCTGGCCTGGCTGGGACCACAGCTCACTTGAACTAGAGGTGGGTGTGCCCACTAGACACTCCTCACAGAAGCTGCCCTGCTCTAAGCAAGGCTCAGGGGGCCCCCCCATGCTAGAGCTCAGGGCTGGTTATACTCAAATACAATCAGCTGAACTCAGCTGCCGCAGTGTTCCCACTGCCCACAGAACTAAAGCAGGTACTTCAGGACTATGTGCCCCCTAGGCCCTTAGTTCTCTGTAGGCAGCTGCCCTGCCCTCCCTTCATTCTTCATCAAGTGGGGTAGGTTGGGGAGAGGGGAGAGGAGGGGGAAAGGAAGAAGGTTCTGGGGAAGGAGAAGGAACACAGAGGGAAGCCGCCTCATAACATAAGATGGGGGAACAGGAAGGACCTAACTACCCTGGAGCCACCTTTACTCCTTTAGAGGATAGGACAGGAGTCCAGGCTCTGCCTAGTCAAGGGAAAGGCACAGAGTTTCCCCGGGAAATCCTGCTGCTTGTGTTGGTCTTAGGCTGAGGGAAGGAAGGGGTTTGTAAGGAAACAATAGCAAGGAAACCCTAGTCTGGCTGAATAGCCCCTCCTCCAATCCCCCAAAGACAACTGGACTTGGCTTCCTTCTCAGCAACAGGGACTAGAGTAGGACCCATGACCCAAGGTCCCAGGGCCCTTCTCTCCCACCAATAGGCCCTGATGGCTAAGGTCTCTAACAAATACCTACAAGCTCAACCCCCATTATGGAAATACAGTCCTTTCTGGAATGGGGCCCTGAAACCCTGCTAGGTAGAGGCCTAGGAGCCAGCCTGGGCTCCAGGAGAGTTAGGAGGCCAGGGCCTCTGGTGGGAGCTTGGTATCTAATCCTTTCCTGTGGTGTTCACCATTACCACGTGGGAGCCGTGTCTCCTCAAACAGACTACATGGGAGTTCCCTGAGGGGCAGGGCCTTCCAACTCTCCTCTTCATCTCCACCCCTCCCCCTCGCTTCTCCAGGGGAACAGGGATGGCCACACTTCAAGTGCTCAGTAAGGATACTGAACAGCACCGAGGAGTTCTAGGAACCTTTCCCCTTCCTCCCATCCCTGTCCCCCCCCATCTCACCCCAGGCTGCTATCCATAGTAATGTACCCAATCCCAGAACCCTGGACACTCAGAAGACATTCTTGCCTCTACCCGAGCAAGAACCCCCTTTACCACCTCCCTGATAGTCTTTTAACCTCTGCTTGAAGACCACTGGTGATGGGTACCTCACTACCTATTAAAGCAATCCATTCCACTTTTGGATAGCTCTAATTATTAGTAAGATTTTTCTCATATCAAAGTGAAATCCATAACTCTACCTACTGCATCTAGTCCTGCGCCCTCTGGAACCTAAGGCAAGTGAAAGGGGAACCCAAGACCCCAGTGTCCCTGTATACACGTCATCCAGCTGCATGCACACACAACCTATCAAGGCCACACACCCATGCCAGCTGTTAGTTAGCAGAGGTAGTAGCAGAGCTATGATTGGCTGCCTGGGGCATGATGTCATTTATAGACAATCTTCTTCAGCTGCTCTCCCGCAAAAATCCCGCATACATCCCCCCCTGGGGGGTCAGGGCTGACATCATGGCCGCAGCAGCCAATGGCAGAGCCACATGTCCTGGGACATGTCACACTCGGGCCGCCCCGCCGAGGGCAAACAGGACAGAATCACTCACCAGGCGCAAGTTCCTGATTACGTCACGTTCCCTCGGCTGCCCGGCCGGAGCAGGGCAGGCAGTAGGCAAAGGGTAAAGGGCAGAGGTCAGGGGTCAGAGTCCAAAGCCGCAGAGAAGTCAAAGCAGAGTGTACAATGAGGTTAATATGTTAGGGCCTGGCTAGGTCAGCCCAGGCAGCAGGGCCAGGGTTCCCAGCCCTAAGGGGAAGGAGAGGGAGAGGGGAAAGAAGAGCAGGCAAGTAACTTAGAGGACCCATGAGGACAACTCACAGGTCAAAGGAGGGCTGTAGGACTCCATAGCATGTCAAGGGGCCAGGCCAAAGGTTGTTGAACAGTAGGTCCTGGCAGGGCAGGACAAAGGTCTGGGACCACCACAGGATAGACAAGCAAGTGGGATGGACCCCAGCTCTGGTGAGGAGACCCTTAAGGTCATGACTGTACTGAGGACCCAGAAGCAGGGCAGACCAGAACAGCCTTAGTCCTGAAGGCAAGCAGGACATAGATACCTGGCTGGGGCTAGCCCTGGGTAGAAGGGAGGGAAGCAAGATCCCAGAATCTTTCTGGGACAGCCAGGGCCAGAGGGGAGCCCTGGCTCCCAGTGACCGCCAGGAACACCTTCCTGGAACAGGGAAGGAAGAACACAATGGGACAAGGGAAAGCTGGCTGGGAGGCTCAGGAGTGAGGGCTAGGGAGGATGAGCTGGGCCACAGGGAGGGGTCCCAAAAGGAAAAGCAGTCACCCAGGGGAAAGCAAGCAAGCGAAGCTGGCAGCCCCCAAGGCCCAGGGGTCACATACCAGGCTATCCCCTGAAAGCACTTCCAGGAGGGAGATGAGGTTGTGGCCATCTCGGAGGTCTTCATATAGGTCACTGATGTGTCGCTGCGCCTAAGGGAAGAAGTCTGACGGTCAGCCAGGTGTGCTGTGTGTGACTGGCGGCAGAGGGGTGGCAAGCACCCATATGTCCAAGCAACTGAAGAACCCAAGGCAATAGGGTTCTCGAGCCAAGGACAGAAGGGGGAGGGCCCTGAGGCTGAAGACCATTGAACCATAAAACCCCTCCTTCCCCTCCCCAGGGCAGGCTGGGCTGTGGAGAATGGGCTGGCACAGCGCTCATCATGTGGGTAGGACGAGAGGTCCTGCCAAACAGGGGGAGAGAGGGAAAGAGCAGGGAAAGTATAAGGTAGGATGCCAACCCCCGCCACCCCCAAGGCAGCAAGTCAACTACCTACCTCTGCTCTCCAGTGCTACAAGGAACCAACCAGGAGGGAGGGAAGAAGGAGAGAGACAGTGGACAGGAACAGAGAGAAAGAAAGGGAAAGAGCAGGAACAATGGGAGGAAGGAAGACAGAAAAGAGCAATATTTCAGAGAGATGAAGGAAAACGAACAGACTTGCAAGATGCAGGGAATGGCCATGAACGGCCCAGAAGATGCCTGGCAAGGTCAGTAGAGTAGCTCAGGATTGAGCCGGCCTAGGGCTGCAGGCTCCCTAACCCCGTCCCCACCCCTCTGGTTGGCTCCTGGGGCTTCTGCTTCTCTCCTCCTCCCCGGCTCGGCCGAGCGGCTAGAGGTCAGGGAGCCACCCAGAACCCTAGCCCACTCTCGCCCCTCCATACCTTGATGAGATGCTTGTTGACCCACTTGGTGAAGGTTTTCTTCTGCACCCGGTCCCGCTCATCTGGTCGGAGAGAAAGGTCAAGATTATTCTGAGGCTGGGGAGGACAGAAGGAATGATCAGTCTAGCCAGAGAGATAGCCCTGAGACAGTATGAGTCACTCACACTCTGACTGAGGGAATCACAGGAAGTGGGTAATCCAGGGAAGGGGTGTTGAGGACAGGGGAACCCCAACAGGCCATCTGAGCAGAAGAAGCTGCTCCCATCTATTCCACTGCCCAACAGGGGCCAAGAATGACAACTAACAGTAGCAGCGCCCATCTTTCTCACCCTTTATGGCTAAAAGAGACTTTCATATACAATTGATGCTTATAAAACCCTGAGAGATAGATAAAGCTTCACCATTCCCATTTTACAGATGAAGAAATTGAAACTCGGCAAGGTAAAGTGATTTGTCCAAAGTTGTACAGCTCTTAAACAGTGGTGAACCCATTTGCTGGGACCAGGGCCAATGGCAGTGCCTCAATAATGTAGCAATACTCTAGCTTCTAAAGAATCTAATCCCATAAACTATAACCAGGAGAAACTCTTGGGCACAAAAATTCCCAGGGATGTCCCCTTGTGAAGGCCTCTCCTATACTCCCTCCATCTCTTGGAAAGCCAGGTTGCAGCCTAGGCCTCCTCATCCCCCTTTAAAAGACCAGACCTAGTGGGTCAGGAGGAGGAGCAGGTTTGGGCCCAGAGCCAGACCCAGCTCTAAGGGGGCTATGGATGGAGTAGACAGAGAAGAGAGAAATGAGGATCAAACTGTACAGCCCTCCCAGGTCTCCCAAACCCAGGCAGGTCAGGCAGGTGATCTCCCAGGAAACGGAAACCAGGCGCCTCCTGCTCAATTCCCCCATTGTCTCTCCTCCCCAGGACGGGAAGGCTCCCACCCGTCCAGCCCTGGGCTGGCAGCCGCACCCCAGAGCCCACGGAGCATGTCCTGGCCCGTCCCCCACCCCCACAACAAGCCAGGCTTAGGATGGCCCCTCCCAGCTAGGCTTCCCCTTGATGCCATGCCTGGTGCCCAGCCTTGGGCCCTTCCATGCTCTGAGTATAGCCTGGGTCTAGGAAGGAGCCTTCCTGACAGGCTGGAGCACCTGAGCTGACTAGGCTAGCACCTTTGGCCTCTCTGGGCTTTAGCTTTACTCCCCCCCCCAAAAAAAACAACAAAAGGAATCACTGTTCCCCCACCCCACCCCACACAAACACACCCAGCACCTGAGACAGGACAATCAGACACCACACATCAGACTGCCAGCTCCCTCACTCTGGGTAGTAAGAGAAGAAAGAAGGGGGAGGAGGTGAAGGTCCAGGTTCCAGCAGGGAAGAGGGGCTAAGCCAGGCCTGCAGCAGGGCAGGGGGGAGGAGTCCAATTACAGAGAGTGAGGACCTCCCCTTTTCCCCACCCACATTCCCCAGTGAGGAACCCACCCATAAGCTTTTACTCCTTCTCCCTTCTATCTTATTCCCACCACAACAGGCATATACACACACTGCCTCGGATAATAGCAGGGGTCAGTGAAGAAAGGCTCCAAAGAGTCCCAAATCGGCTTAGTGAGGAGGGTAGAGCCAGGCCCCAAAGCTCGGCCCCTCCTGGGAGAGATGGAAGAGGGGCGGGCGGCACAGGAGGGAGGGCCTGGTGCCTTCCCCTAGTGAAATCAACAGTGTCCACCTTCACTTGCCTAAGCCAGGAAACACCTCCCCCCAACTATCCATGTCAGGCTTCCCCCAGCCCTGCTGGCCCCATCTCCCTATACCAGGCCCTCTGGTGGCCCACCTGCCCTGTTATGAAGTGCTGGCCTCAGGCCAAGTAGGTTCTTAGGATCCCCTTCCCCCATACACACACACCTGGCCAAGGTAAGAGAGGCAAACATTCCCACCACTTCTACTGAACCCTGGAGCTCTCTAGTGGTTCTGTCCCATGCTTCCTCTGAGCCTACTCCAAATGGGCAGCCCAGGGCCTTCAGCCAGCCACTGACCACAACTCAGCAGCTTTACCCCTTGCCTGCTCAGCCCCAACGGGCCCCCCTGCTCCACTGAATCTACAAGTCTCCCATCTCTCCAGAGCGCCAGTACCCTGCATTGGCCAGGCACACCACAGTGAGTGGCCCAGCTCTCCGCACACCCCCCTAGAGTCTCCTTAGTTTCAGAGCCCCCAGATGTTTTAGGAAGCTCACCACCAGAGCATCGTAACCATTTCTAGCCTCCCAGACAGCTCCCCAAAGCCAAGTGGTCCCCTAGAAGCAGATCTCACCTGGGACAGCCCCAAAGTTCGGCTCCCTTTCCCGCCTCCCTCCCTCTACCTGCTGCCAGCCAGCCAGCCAGCCAGCCAGCCCCAGTCTCTCAGGGACGGGGGAGTCAGTCTCACTACCTTTCTTGCCCTCTGAAGCCCTAAGGACAGCCAGGTAGAGGTTGTCCTCAGAATTGGTTCTCTTCTGTACAGGGTTCTGGGGCTCCTGGCTCTTCAGTCTCTGCCGCGACATGGTCCCCTTGCCCAGGGGAGCCGAGGGGAGGCAAGCTCTGGATGGGACGCCTGGCCTGGCCTGGATCTGGAGGGCTCCCACCCGACCGACCCACCGGGATCCCACTGACGAAGGGAGGAAGGAGGCCGGCAGTGGGCCCTGGGCTGGGCTACGAAGCAACAGCAGGCACTTCCTCTGCCTACCCTAACACTCTAAAGTACAGAAGTTAGTGTGGCCACTCCCCAGGCTCCAGCTACACTCCCAGAGCTGCTGCTGCTGCTGCTGCTGCTGCAGCTACCACCAGCGGGGCTGCTGGCCCTGCTGCTGCCTGCTCCTCCTCTTTCTCCCTAGTCTGGCCCAGCCCCCTGCCTCCCTCCCACCCAGAGGTATGGGGCTGCTCCCAGGACTAGGTGTGCCCGGGGCTGGGCCTGACTGGGTTGGGCGGGGTGGGGCGGGGCAGGCCCCGAAGAGGCGGGAACTCCTTTCTCTGGATCTGCACATTTGCTAGCCAGAAACAGGAAACCACCATATAGTTTCCTAACCACCACCACAGCCCAGGCGAGGCAAGCCAAGCCAAGCCACAGCACGGGAGGGCAGGCAGGCAGAGATGGCAAGCATTAACCATTTCCTCTCCTGTCCAAAGCCCAGCCACCAGTGTCCAGGGATGAGGGGAGGTCCCATGGTCCTGCAAGCTGGGTCTAGGGGAGAAGGGGGGACCCCCACCACACACTCCTCCTTCCTGGCAGCCATCTGACCTGCAAGACCCTTCCTATTTATTGAACTGGACCACAGAAGCCCCAAGACCAGGACGGTCCTCTCTCCTTCAGTAGGGCCAGAGTTCACCAGGGAGGGGCAGCCCCAAACTAGACAAGGACCAGAATAGCCAGGCACAGCCTCTGGCTTTGGAACTGGTCCCATTTCTATGCCTCCTTGGGGCCCCCAAACACATCGTTCAAGCTCCAAAGTCTATAACCAATTCTACCACCTCTCATTACTCGATACTAAAATTTGATAATGTCTAAGTACAGGGTGAGTAAATGCTTACAGAGTAAATGCTTAGGAACAGCACCACAATGAGTCACAGGGAAGCCTGGCGGTCTATAGGTCCTACTCCAGGTCTGAATTCAGCCCCAACAGTTATTTCAGAACTGAAAGTCCCTAAAAAGCAAAGCTCTGTGAGGATATGGAAAAGGCACTGAGGGAGGCGGTGAGGGTTAATGGACCAAACACTGGTGTAGGGAGTCAGGAAAGTCCTGGGTGCAAATTCCATCTTTGACACTAAGCAAATCACCTAATTCTCTAAGCCTCAATTGCCTCATCTGCAAAACAGAGGTGATTATAATCTCAACCACCTCACAGAGCTGTTTTGAGGGAAAAATTCAGCAAAATGGTTTTGTAAGACTTAAATGGCTGGATAAATAGGAGTTGATTTATTATTATTCCTTCACAGCTGGCTAAGTTGTTACAATAGCATCCTCACTAGTTGCTCTTCATCAGACTGGGCCTGTAATTCCTTTCACCAAGGCCATATCATCTCTTTAAAGAAGTTACATCTCTGCCTGAATGCTATCCCTGCTCAGCAGTGCCCTACAGGTAAAGCCTACAGAATTATGTCCAAATTGTTCAGACTAGCCTTCAAGGTCCTGTCTCCATTTGGTCCCCTCCTACCTAAGCAGTCTTATCTCTTACTGTTCTTTAACTGAGATCCCCAACTCCAGCCAGGCCTAGATCCTCATATACAACTAGGCCAGGAGCTGTCCAAGGGCACCAAAATTAGGTCCTCTTGCTCTGTCTCTATCAGAGCCAGGCTTTTTTACAAAGCAGTTGCTCTGTAAAACCTGCCTGGCTGAATTTTTATTTGACAGGGACAGAAAATCAATACAAAACCCTACATTCCACCCTGCCTCCATTTCAGGTCCTGTTATCTTACAGAAGGCAAAGTCAGTTCTCAGCTCCTATCCCTTCTTCAAACCTCCCTCCCCATTATTTAACGAATTCTTTTTGTTCTACTAAAAGTGGCTGTCCCTCCCTACTCTAAGAATCCCTTCTCTGGAGTGCTGGACCTGAATTCAAGAAAACTCAAGGTCAAAATCTGGCCTCAGACACTTATCATTAATGTGACCTTGGGCAAGTCTCTTAACCTCTGCCTCAGTTTCTTTATCTGTAAAATGAGGGTCATAAGAGGACCTACCTCCCAGGGCGGTTGTGAGGATAAAATGTCTGTAAAAATATCTGTAAATATCTGTAAAATATCTGTGCTGCTCTTGGAGGAAGAAGCTACCAAAGTGAAAGGTGAATGGGCCAGCCCAGACTTCTGTGTCCAGCAGAGTCAGGAAAACCTTAACCTTTGAAAAACCTAATCTTTAAAAACCTTAAAACTACTGTTGTTGTTGTTGTTGTTACTGTTACTAATACTACCTGCAGACACTCAGGTTTCTTCTGATTCCTCTCCCCAATTCTTGCCGTCTACCTTTCTGGCCACTGTCTCTGCCCATCTCTAGTTCCACAGTTAGAAATCCAGATGGCCCCTGCTCTCAGCTCTGTCCCTTTCTCTCC